TGCCCCATCCTTTTCCATCCTTTTCTACTCCTTCCCACCCCATTCCACCGCATCCCACCCCTTCCCATCAGTTTGATTCCATCCCAGCAGTCTTTGGCGTCACTCGCGATCCCTTCATAGTCTTCACATCAAATATTTTTGCCATTCTCGGTACAGTCACCATTGCTTACTGTCACAATTCTCATGTATTGTCACCATTGCTTCCAGCCAGTGCTCCTTCCATTGTCTTCACATCCCACATCTTTCCTTTTCTCGGTACATTCACCACTGCTTACTATCGCAATGATTGGATGTCGCTGCTGGTTCAAGTTACCCCTTCATTGTCTTCACATCCCACATCTTTACTTTTCTCGGTACATGCAAAATTGCTTACTGTCGCAATTACTGGGTATCGACACCACTTAGATATTTAATAATCGTTTTCAAATGTGTTTTCATTGAATCGCCTCCCCTCGGGACTTTCAACAACATGGCATGACATGGCTTCACATCTCATGGACGACATCCCATCCCATCCCATCCCATCCCTTCCCATCCCTTCCCATCCCATCCCATCCCATCCCATCCCATCCCATCCCATCCCATCCCATCCCATCCCATCTTACCGCACTCCACACCCCATCAGGCCTGCGATCGATCTTCACAGTCATCGCCACCAGCATGGCCAATCTGCACTACCTACAGTTACAACTGCGCCTCCTTCCTCATCTCTACCTCCTTCCATCCCATCCCATCCCATCCCATCCCATCCCATCCCATCCCATCCCATCCCATCCCACCGCACTCCACACCTTCTCAGGCCTGAGATCGCTCTTCACAGTCATCGCAACCAGCATGGCAGATCTACACTACCTACAGCCGGCCATTGCAATCGTTCTTGGCTTCATCGGTTCCAAGATCCTGGCCGAATTCTGCAGTGAGTCGTCTGTTGATGTGGCACTATATAAGCTGTCATCACATGACATACCGTGACACGGCATGCCGTCACATGGCATCTGACATGTCATCACACACCATGCAAAGTTCTGCACTACCTACAGCCGGCCATCGCGGTGGTCCTCGGGTTCATCGGTTCCAAGATCCTGGCCGAATTCTGTGGTGATTCATCGTTTGATGACACATAACATACCGGGACACGGCATGCCATCACATGGCATCCAAATCTGCACTACCTACAGCCGGCCATCGCTGTGCATCGGGTCGAGAATCCTAGCAGAGTTATGTTTTGAGTAGATTGTGGCTCTTTCAGTTGAGTCGACTCTCTGTTCAGGCAAGGCAAGAGAGGACTCCGACCTGCACTACCTACAGCCGGCCATCGCTGTGTTGGTGAGCTGTCTCTCTGTGCCATCACACAGCCTGGCTTCAAACAGCATTCATCGGCTCGAAAATCCTGGCTGAGGTTTGCGGGGAGTCGTCTCTTGGTGTTGCGTTACATACGCAGGCAGTGTATGACCTGCCTTCACACACCATGCACCAATCTGCACTACCTACCTGCAGCCGGCCATCGCAGTGGTTCCTCGGGTTCATCCGGTTCCTCGGGTTCATCCGGTTCCTCGGGTTCATCCGGTTCCTCGGGTTCATCCGGTTCCTCGGGTTCATCCGGTTCCTCGGGTTCATCCGGTTCCTCGGGTTCATCCGGTTCCTCGGGTTCATCCGGTTCCTCGGGTTCATCCGGTTCCTCGGGTTCATCCGGTTCCTCGGGTTCATCCGGTTCCTCGGGTTCATCCGGTTCCTCGGGTTCATCCGGTTCCTCGGGTTCATCCGGTTCCTCGGGTTCATCCGGTTCCTCGGGTTCATCCGGTTCCTCGGGTTCATCCGGTTCCTCGGGTTCATCCGGTTCCTCGGGTTCATCCGGTTCCTCGGGTTCATCCGGTTCCTCGGGTTCATCCGGTTCCTCGGGTTCATCCGGTTCCTCGGGTTCATCCGGTTCCTCGGGTTCATCCGGTTCCTCGGGTTCATCCGGTTCCTCGGGTTCATCCGGTTCCTCGGGTTCATCCGGTTCCTCGGGTTCATCCGGTTCCTCGGGTTCATCCGGTTCCTCGGGTTCATCCGGTTCCTCGGGTTCATCCGGTTCCTCGGGTTCATCCGGTTCCTCGGGTTCATCCGGTTCCTCGGGTTCATCCGGTTCCTCGCGTTCATCCGGTTCCTCGCGTTCATCCGGTTCCTCGCGTTCATCCGGTTCCTCGCGTTCATCCGGTTCCTCGCGTTCATCCGGTTCCTCGCGTTCATCCGGTTCCTCGCGTTCATCCGGTTCCTCGCGTTCATCCGGTTCCTCGCGTTCATCCGGTTCCTCGGGTTCATCCGGTTCCTCGGGTTCATCCGGTTCCTCGGGTTCATCCGGTTCCTCGGGTTCATCCGGTTCCTCGGGTGCATCCGGTTCCTCGGGTGCATCCGGTTCCTCGGGTGCATCCGGTTCCTCGGGTGCATCCGGTTCCTCGGGTGCATCCGGTTCCTCGGGCTCATCCGGTTCCTCGGGCTCATCCGGTTCCTCGGGTTCATCCGGTTCCTCGGGTTCATCCGGTTCCTCGGGTTCATCCGGTTCCTCGGGTTCATCCGGTTCCTCGGGTTCATCCGGTTCCTCGGGTTCATCCGGTTCCTCGGGTTCATCCGGTTCCTCGGGTTCATCCGGTTCCTCGGGTTCATCCGGTTCCTGGGGTTCATCCGGTCCCTCGGGTTCATCCGGTCCCTCGGGTTCATCCGGTCCCTCGGGTTCATCCGGTCCCTCGGGTTCATCCGGTCCCTCGGGTTCATCCGGTCCCTCGGGTTCATCCGGTCCCTCGGGTTCATCCGGTCCCTCGGGTTCATCCGGTCCCTCGGGTTCATCCGGTCCCTCGGGTTCATCCGGTTCCTCGGGTTCATCCGGTTCCTCGGGTTCATCCGGTTCCTCGGGTGCATCCGGTTCCTCGGGTGCATCCGGTTCCTCGGGTGCATCCGGCTCCTCGGGTTCATCCGGTTCCTCGGGTTCATCCGGTTCCTCGGGTTCATCCGGTTCCTCGGGTTCATCCGGTTCCTCGAGTTCATCCGGTTCCTCGGGTTCATCCGGTCCCTCGGGTTCATCCGGTCCCTCGGGTTCATCCGGTCCCTCGGGTTCATCCGGTCCCTCGGGTTCATCCGGTCCCTCGGGTTCATCCGGTTCCTCGGGTTCATCCGGTTCCTCGGGTTCATCCGGTTCCTCGGGTTCATCCGGTTCCTCGGGTTCATCCGGTTCCTCGGGTTCATCCGGTTCCTCGGGTTCATCCGGTTCCTCGGGTTCATCCGGTTCCTCGGGTTCATCCGGTTCCTCGGGTTCATCCGGTTCCTCGGGTTCATCCGGTTCCTCGGGTTCATCCGGTTCCTCGGGTTCATCCGGTTCCTCGGGTTCATCCGGTTCCTCGGGTTCATCAGGCTCCAAGATCCTTTGCTGGTGTCAATCGCCTCCTCTTCACTATATGCCATGGCATCACATGCCGGGCCATGTCACATCACATGCCGGGCCATCATCACATGCTGTCACATCACATGCCATGGGCTCCAAGATACAAGCAGAGTTCTCCCTACGGGAGGTGGTGTCACTCCCTCCTAGAGAACACATGACAGCACTCCCATCTCTTCCCTCCTCCCTTTCTCCCCTGCACTACCAGGCCTGCACGTACCAACAGAGGTCTCTCTAGGGGTGGTGGCGTCGCTGCTGGCAAGAGGCACGCCATTCAGCATTTTGCCATTCGACTTGTTCACATGCGATAGTACACCACCCCCTTTCCTCTCCCACCCTTTCTCCTGCTTCTCCTCTGCACTCTCAGGCCTGCACGTACCAACGGAGGTGTCTCTAGGGGTAGTGGCATCCCTGCTGGCAGGGGGAGGGTCTTTCTACTCTTCCACATGCAATAACACATCACTCTCCTCCTCTCCCCCTCTCTCTCCTCCCTTCTCCTCTGCACCACCAGGCCTGCACGTACCAACGGAGGTGTCTCTAGGGGTAGTGGCGTCGCTGCTGGCAGGAGGGGTGTTCTTGAGCCTTAGATTCCCCCTCACACTGACACCCTCTCTCTTTCGCTCTGTACCTCTCTCACTTCCCGTATCTGCTCACTCTCAGGCCTGCACGTACCAACAGAGGTCTCCCTAGGGGTAGTGGCATCATTGCTGGCAGGAGGAGTGTTTTTCAGCCATAGATTCCCCATCACAGAGGGAGACGATAAAGAAGGGCTGTAGGCATGCACAATACTTGGAAGGGAAGGAGACAATACTTGGAATGGAAGCGGGGGGAGTGAATTAGTGTACAAGATACAACCTGCTGTGTAAGCAGCTGCCATGACGTGCCGCCATACAAGCAATGTGACAACAGCATTAACGAGTTGAAACAGGTGATTCTGCACAAGGCTTCTGAAAATACAGAAGGCTTTGGCACCCCTTACTCCTGTCTCTACATCTCCAAATGCTTCTTCCGGGTGGTACGGTATTTGGGAGAATCAGGTCTCTAGCTATGGTATTTTCACAGCCACGGCTCAACCAAGGGACTTTGGAGTTGATGCAAGCACAGCTAGGAAGAATCTTTAGTAGCAGCATGCTGGCTCTGTTGTTATCAATGTCTATAACAGCTGCAGTGGTGACACGTGTGGAATGAAAAAAATCTGAGGATAATTGAAGTTCCACATTGAATGTAATGTAATCCAGCATAGTACCGTACTATATATCCAACACTTGCAGATGAGCATCAATGGTCCGAATCCTTCTACAGTGCACATGGAACCATTGGGCGTATTCCTACAACTTAGGCTCACCTTCTACCAGACTAACCATTTAGCAAGTCTGACATGAGCCAAGTCTGAGGTGCAGAAATACGCCCATGGTTTGCTTACACAACCCCTTACAAAAAAAAACGTGGTCTGCAAAATAAAGAAATAGGATTTAGTAGCGTTTCTGGCGCTGCTGGCCAACACCTTCTGCAACCGATCCCAAACAGTAGAGCGTACAGGATCCTGGCAGAAGCCCTAGCCAGCACGCCGCAAGACTGGAAATCCTCGCTACAAGCACAAATGGTTAAGCATCTGGCGGGTGGTTGCCTCCGCCGCTGATACGTCCTCCTCTTCCAGCTCAGCGCGGCATTGGCGCGCGGCGATTTCTTCACCAATTCCCACTCCGCCAATCGAACCCGCTCCCCCCACGCTCGTGCTAGATGCGGACCTGCTCAGCGCGCGAGATGCCGCGGAAGAGGAGCCCGCGGAAGATGGCCAGAAGGGCGACGAGCGCGGGGTCCACATCGACGAACCAGGAACCTCCACGTTGCTCGCAGGGCTGCGCAAAATCTCCGCGGGCGACCCCAGCGTGCGCGCGCGCGCCCAACTCTCTTTCTCACCCCCCACCGAAATCCCTAACCCTAACCCGTCCAAACCATCTTCCCCCACGGAACCTGTGATACTATCGGGAAGCATACTAGCGGGAGAAACTCCCTGGCCTATAGGGCGGAGAGTTCGCGGCTGGTAAGCCGCGCCCGGCTTGTACGTTAAATTACGCGGCCGGTGAGATTGAGCGCCGGCGCTGGTAACACCAGCGGCCAACGCGTGCTGATCCGACGGCGGAAGGCCCAAGCCTGGTAGGTTTGGAATAGCCTGCGAGAGAAGCTGCTGGGTCGGGAAATTCGGAACGCTAGCGCCGACGTAGCGGCCAGCGCCGACCCCTCCGGCAGCGGCGGCGGCGCCGATGGCGGGCGAGGTTCGGCGGACGTAAGCGGGCGCGCCAGCGGCAGCTGCGGCGGTTGGCGCGGGGTCAACCATCGGACTGGACTGCGTCATTCGCGGAAACTGCGCCAGCTGCTGCGATAGCATCATCGCGCCGTAGTTATTCATCATCGAGTTACTCATTACCGAATCCTCCGGTACAAGCATATGCTGCTGCTCCGCGCTCATCTCACGCACCGTCACCTCGCGGATTCGAACCCCCGCCATTCCCGCGCCGACATGTCGCGGAACGTAGAGCGGAGCGCCGGCCTGCAGCGGAGTGCCCCCCTGCGGAGGGCAGGCGGAAGTCCGGTTGCGCGCGTAGAGCGGAGCGGAAGCCATGCCCTTGGGCGCGGGACAGCCGTTCGGAACGTAGAAGCCGGCGAGCGCGGCGAGATCCATGCCAGGCGCAAGCACCGCGGGGCTCGATTTGATCGCGCTGGCGTTGTACGCGTTAGAGAGCGCGCGGGCGATAGCGGTCTGCTCCTGCTCGTCCGTAACGTCGAGGTCTTCGATCACAGCCGTGTAGTTGCGACCCGCATCTGAAAAAAAAAAAAAAGAGAAAAGGGAGCAATCCAGATACGGTCATGTTGAGAAAGCATGACGATAAACGTATACGATAGAAACTCCCTGAGAAGGTATCGAAGAAAAACATGAAAACAAAAACAACAAAAGACGACGGGTTTGGCGGGAAGAGATACGACGACGAAGCTTACATCGTTTCAGCGCAGTCCACGCCGCCAGCGCCGCGTTCTTCTCCGCCTGCTTCTTCGTCCGCGAGGGCTCCCCCGTGAACTGCAACTCCGCCACCTCCACCGTGCACGTGAACACCGGCAGATGCCCGGGACCGGATCGAACCGTATTGTACCCAGGCAACGGCACGCCGGCCCGTTGCGCGGTCTCCTGTAGCAGATTTTTGCACACGCCGGATTCGTCGAGGATCTTCGCGATGCATTGCGACGGGCTGCGCTCCGACATGACGCGCAGCGCGACCTCCGCCGCCGCGTGCTCCGCCTGCCGGAGCGACGAGAAGTAGCCCGGGCTGTCGAAGGTCTCGCCGTTAAACGTGGCGGTGGCTTTAAACTTGGGCGCGTGGTCCGGGCCCTCGCGTATGCACGCGTACGACGGGAGGTTGTACCCGCTGCGCTGCGCGAGCTCCTGGAGCTGATTTTTATGCATTGTGCCGCTCGTGTAAACACTATGTACTCGTTTGTGACAGCCGCGATTAGCAGGGACTTCCTAGAACAACGGTGCAGCGTTCGCAGTTTTTATCAACTATGTGGCACCGGCTTGTATGTCGAAGGGTACTTTGTAGGGAAAGGCCGGCTACCAATGAGTCTAGTGGGTACGTGCAGATAACTAGAGCAGGTTGTGAATATCAAGACCGAGAGCGGTCTTATTCGTCTAGGAAGGCCATCATACTCCTGTCTCTACTTGTTGGCAGTCGTTCCGAGACAGGTTCCTGAACCCTAAAGAAAATTATCAGTACTCTGAGCCAATCACTATCGCCTGAAAGAACTAGTTGCCGAGAATTAGCGGCTGTGAAATAGAGCTGGTGAGACGGCCGTTTTGTTGAGGGTTATGGGACCGTGTCTCCCTCCCTCCTGCAGAAAACGCGGAAACAGGAGCTGCGGGGGAGCTAACTCAAGCGTGTGGGAAACGGGGAGAAGAAAGGTCTGGTGATATCTGCGGTGAAGTGGATGGATGGCTGGGTGGGTGGGTGGGTGTCTCGGCAAGGTCAACGAGAAAGAGAACTGCCCGAATTCAGATGGAGGTGATGCGGAGGGGTGGAAGGAGGTTCTGGTTTGGAGAGATCAGCCGAGGGTACGGAACGGAACGGTGAGAGGTGGAACAAACGATGAAGGGCCAAGAAAGCCGAGAAGCTGGAAGAATCTGAGTCAGGTGAAAATACGTGTAGCCGCGCTGACTGGCTGGTTGGAAAATGAGCTCCCTTCATTCCACCATTTTCTTCTGAGCTTTCACCTTGCCTTGAGCCACGGGAATGTCAACGCGCGCAATAGCGGTTGGCGCAAACTGCCTGGTTAGGGGGAACGCCACGTCACGCGGATGGTACAGTAACTGGAGCTGCCCCAAAGTTGCTGCTCAAGTCTTGCTGGCAGTCTAAGGGGCAGAGGGCTCACTGGTCAGCGCAGACCAGAGGTTGGGTTTGGGGAAAGGAGACGCTGGGGGGAGGGGGGGGGGGTATGGAGTCGCTGGCAGTGTGATCAGCGTGGTTCGGGAATCAGGGGGGATCCTGGAAACGGGGATTTGATTGGTCGTTTGGGGGGTACAGCTGATCCCAAATTTGGGGCCCGTTCCGCCCCTCCAGCTGTGGACGGTCAGGCTCCGGGTGGGGAGGTATGGGGCTCGTTCCGCCCCTCAAGCGGGGCTTCGTTTCTCGTTGGGGCTCCGTCCGCGAGAGGCGGTTTGTCGGTGGATCAAGGAGCACCGTGTTTGTGATGACGGTGCGTCCCTGCAGTGTTCCGCCACGCTACAGTCCGTACCGACCACGGAACCGCCAAAACCCATCTTCACTTACTCCCAGCCATTAGCGCTGTTGCAAAATTTTGTTCACGACTTTACATGGCTGGGCAGGCAATAGTGCCACAATTTCCAGTCCCTGGCAAAACAAACAAAGAAACAAACAAAGAAACCACAAGTCTTCACGGTCATGCACTCTCTCTTTTTTGCTAAAAGGTATTTGGATGTGGTTTTCACTGTTTCAGAGTAATTGCCTTGCCCGAACCACTCTCACCTGCATGGCGGAGCAATCACGAAGTTGCGGGAGCACTGACGCGGAGACCGTGCATCTGATCTGGCTGGGCTGGTTACTGTAGGTACTGGTGACACACCTGCCTCTCGTGTCGCCGTTTGCACGTTTGTTCTCTTTTGACAGCGGGCCAATGTCTGTCGGCAATAAGGTGACGGCGAGGCGACGGACGGAGGATCGATGTGTCTCCTCTTCTGCAGTTCGACACCTCGTCGTCACCTGCCGAACGTCCCCGTCAAAGTGGGACTCGCTCCATGTTGGAGTCAAAGTGGAGTCAAAACGAGCTAGCAGTTCAGTAGGGCTATTGTTGGACTCAAAGTGGAGTCAAAACGAGCTAGCAGTTCAGTAGGGCTATTGTTCAATAGGTGATTCATCATGAATGGCAGCGACTGGGAGGTCGGTTGCATTATGAAAACCACAAGCTCTTGTGCAAAACTAGGCGATTGGCTGATGTCAAACACGTTGGAATGACAAACATACGAACAGGCTTACCCCTCTGGAAAATACCACAAATACCTAACAAGCCAGACACCATGTCTCTCCACTGTAACGCTCTACTTCATTGTCTCCGGAAACCATTTCAGGTTCTTCCCAACAATCATCCCATCGATGTCGCAATCAACATTGCTTCATTCAGGTGAGGATGATGTGTCGGCTCGAGGGGGTGCATTAAGCTCGCTCTCACTTGCACGCTTGTCCTGCCACCAAAAAATGGAAAACGGAAATGGGAGGATACAAAACACCATTGGAATAGCAAACCATGAACACAGGAAACCCAGTGAAAATATATAAACCAACAAAATAAAAATGCACACCTCACAGCATGGAGAGGATCAACAACAAGACAAAAACCACATCACATTCTAGAAGTGTGTAGCTGACGTGCCAACTAAATGGCTTCAATGCAGATCAACAGGCGAAGTGTGACTATCATGTGTGCGTATTGTGAATATCATGTGTGCGTATTGTGAATATAATGTGTGCGTATTGTGAATATCATGTGTGCGTATTGTGAATATCATGTGTGCGTATTGTGAATATCATGTGTGCGTATTGTGAATATCATGTGTGCGTATTGTGACTATCATGTGTGCGTATTGTGAATATCATGTGTGCGTATTGTGACTATCATGTGTGCGTATTGTGACTATCATGTGTGCGTATTGTGAATATCATGTGTGCGTATTGTGACTATCATGCGTGCGTATTGTGAATATCATGTGTGCGTATTGTGAATATCATGTGTGCGTATTGTGACTATCATGTGTGCGTATTGTGAATATCAATCGTGCCAACCATAGCTGAATAGCTCCATTTGATGAGAAAATGCAGCAAGGACAGGAGCAAGCACTTCAGCCAAACAGGAGAATTCTCAAAAGTGATTTCAACTTGCAAGGGGGCACTTCCCACACGTGACAGACGCGACTTTGCATTAATCCAATTCCTGCTCACCTTGCTCCAGTGCCAGCTCAGCGCGCTGCCAGCATTGAGTAAAGCCGATGTGCCAAGAACGAGGGTGGCGAGCCCCAGGGACCCCACCACCACCCGGTGCACCGTATCTAGACCCTTCGACATGCCTGCTCCCGCTGCTGCTACGGTCCTGCTTGTATGTAGTCCCCCACGTGTCTCCGGAAAGAATAAATGTATGTATGCTCTACCCGGCGTGACTGTTATCCTGCTCTGGTTGTTGTATGTCACTTCACTTGTATGTCTCTCCTCCGCTTGTCCTTTCTACCTGTCTGTGTCTATGTACCAGTCCTGCTTCGTTGTCTGCCTGCTTGCGTTTCTATCTGCTGCTACTGCTGCTGGTAGTGGCCAACAAATCCCACTTCTGCTGCACCTGCAACAAAGATCGAAAACCGCAAGCCGGTTGCTTCAGCTGCCGTTGCCACTGACGCACGAGACGTTTCAGCTGGTTTTGCTGTGAGAAGGAAGCAGTATAGGAGGCAAAAGAAAAGACGGAGAAGAAAGAACCGCAGAAGGGGGAATAGGGCGGGGAATTTTGAGTAGGGGATGGAAGGAGGGATAAAACGACGCGAAAGGCTGAGAGGGGAAGGGAAAAGAACGGGACGGGAGGAGGACGAGAAGGAGAGAAAGAGAGGACGACTCAAAACTGAATGAGGGGAGAGGAGAAGAGGACGTTAAAGGGAGCTAGAGCGAAGGAGATGGTGTCTGAAGACGCGGATGGGGAGAGGAGGCTGAGAGAGGACAACTCAAAACTGGATAGGAAGAGGGGAGAAAAAGGACGTTGGGGGAAGCTAGAGAGCAAGAGATTTAAAACAAGGATGGTGGGGAGCGGAGAGCAAGAGAGGACAACTCAAAACCGGACGATAAGAGAGGAGGAGAGGTCGTTGGGGAGAGCTAGGGAGGGCGGGATGGGGAGAGGAGACCTAAGGAGGACGAGAGGGAGAGCAAAATAAGACAACTTGTGAAGGAAAAGAGGAAGCTAGACATCGAAAATCATTTAGAGGAGAAGAGGAAGTTAGAGGGCAAGGCTTTTAAAAACGGGGATGGTGGGGAGCGGAGAGCAAGAGAGGACGAGTCAAAGCTTGATGAGGGTAAAGGAGAAGAGGAAGTTAGAGGGCACGACATTTAAAAACGGGGATGGTGGGGAGCGGAAAGCAAAAGAGGACGACTCAAAAGTTGATGAGGAGAGAGGAGATGAGGACGTTGGGGGGGCTAGATAGAGCGCGATGGTGGGGAGAGGAGATCAAAGGAGAACGAGAGGGAGAGCTAGAGAGGACGCTGCAAAACTGGATGAAGGGGAGATGAGAAGCCGACGTTGAGGGGTTGGATTGATCGCGATCGTGGGGAGAGGAGAGCAAAGGAGAACGAGAGGGAGAGCTAGAGAGGACGACTCAAACTTGATGAAGGGAGATGAGAAGCGGACGTTGGGGGAACCTAGCAAGAGATGACGTCTAAATACGAGGACGGTGGTGAGAGGGGAGCAAGAGAGGAAACGACTCAAAAAATGATGGGGGAAGCGGAGAAGAGGACGTTGGGGGAGTGGGGAGCGGGGACGGGCGGGGGGGGGGAGGGGGGGGAGAGGGGGGAGGGAGGGGGGGCGAAGGGGGAGGAAAGGGGTGGGGGAAGGTGGGAGCGGGAGGGCCGGAGAGGGGGCTAGAGAGCAAGAGATGACGTCTAAAGACGGGAATGGTGGGGAAACGAGAACAAGAACTGGACGAGGGGTGAGGACGAGGGGACGTTGGGGGACCCTAGAGAGTGCGCGATGGTGGGGAGAGGAGACCAAAAGAGGACGTTTCAAAACCAAGATGATGGGGGAGCGAATTGGGAAACCGGAACCCCACGGGCCTGACTTTTAAATGTACGGAACGAATCATATCAGATATTTATTCATCGGATTTCTTGCGAACGAATCGTGGCAGCAAGCGGGGAAGGCCGCGAAAGTGACGAGGGACGGCGATAGGGTAGGACGAAGGACAGGTAGTTAAATATACAACTGATATCAAGATCAACGGTATATGGAACTTACATGGTTTGGAAAAGGAAGGGCCAATGCAGATTCGCGTACGACGAAGAATTTTCGCACAAAATCGCGCGCAGGCGTCAGACGACGAGATGGACGGAACTAAGGGATGGGCGAAAAGGCGGACACGCCTGCCGCTGAATCGGATCGGAAGCGTTAGATGGAGACGACGGAAACGAGAGCGGAGCTGAAGGGCGAGCGACGAGAAGGCACAGGCAGGCAGGCGGGAAGTGGGACGCGACGCGACGGGAGAAGCGGATTTGAGGCTACTACGGACGAAGCGGAATGAATGGTATCCGGCGTGGGTGAGAGGAATTGTGGGCGAGGGAGCACCATGCAATTCTATGAAGGTCGTTCTGTTTCGGTAAACGACGGTTAAGTGCTCTGCTGTACCTTCCAATACCCAACTCACCCCTCCGCGCCCTTCCATCGTGATTCGGCGAAAGAAATGTATGAGCATGTAACAACCGTTCGTTCATTTCTCGTCCGCACTTCGCAAAACGTATATCTCATGGCTCGCGTGGATTGGTTGCAACGAGAGATAGTTTGTACTCGTTTGACACATACCTGCACTTTACTGCAATGTACGTTTCTTACACATAACAGAAGGTTTTTAGCAATCTACAGGTTGCCATGCAAACTTTCCCCCCACACACCTCTGCCAGGAAAGAGCTTCTGTCTGCTGATCCAAGTAGTCGATATTTCTTTCCGCAAATTACTCGCATTCTGTCCTGCCTTTCCCGCATTCAGCTTTCCGCGACATCTTACGCGCGATGGGACGGCCAGCAGCAGCAGGTGCGTCGAGGGGCCCCGCGGTCGGCAATAATGACGACGGCGCGGAGGTCTTCGATTTCCTGGCGGCAATCGTTAACGATGTGAGCATTTTTGTCCAAGTGAGCGCTATATGATAAAATTATTTATGACGAGATGGGCGTTATGTTGAGGTGTTCGATTTCCTGGCGGCGATCGTTAGCGATGTGAGCCTTGTATCGAGGTGAACGTTTTATCGAGATTTGCGTTTTTGTTGGGTGCTCGCCTTCCTGACGGCGACTGTTAACTATTCGAGCGTTGAAACGTGAAATAACTCAAGCGTTAACGATGTCTGGAGCATTACGCACGGCCTTCGCTTGCTTTGCAAGCGAAGGGTAAGGTAAACGAGGTCAGCGTTCAACAGGTGAGTCTTGAATCGACTCACAAATCGCATCGCACGGCCTTCGCTTGCTTTGCGAAGCTCGCAGAAGCGTAAACGAGGTCAGTCAGCGTGTGCTCGCATACACACCGACAACAGCCCCCTCTGAAAGGCCTTTCCGCGAGTATTCCTTTCAGCAGTCGACAACAGCCCCCTCTGAAAGGCCTTTCTCCGTTGATTGAACTAAACAAACCCGCAGCTAGGCTTTTCAAAAGTGACGTGCTCGTTTCTCATTAGACTCGACTCACAAATAGGCTTTAAGGTTCGCCTGGATCTCACAATCAGGCTTTAAGGTTCGCCTGGATCTCGCAAATAGGCTTTAAGGTTCGCCTGGATCTCGCAAATAGGCTCACTCCTTCCCTCTCCTCCTCGTTTCTCCAGGTCGAGCTGGCAGGGCAGGGGGGGGCACTCATCTCGAGCTGTGAGGCAAGATTGAGGAGCCGCCATCCACACCGCCCTCTCCTTTCATCCCCCCTTTCCTTCCCGCCTTCCCTCCTCCTCCCTGCTTTTTTCTCCAGATGGAGTTGGCAGGGGGGGGGGCACTGATTTCGAGCTGTGAGGCAAGATCGAGGAGCCGCCATCCATCAAGAAGATGGAGCAGGCAGGAGGCGGCGCTGACATGGAGCTGAGCTGAGGCAAGATCGAGAAGCCGCTATCCACACCACCTTCTCCTCTCACCCCACCTTCTCTTCCCTCCTCTCCTCCCCCTCCCCTCCCTCCCCTCCCTCCCCTCCTCCTCTGTTTTTCCAGATGGAGCAGGCAGGGCTGTCATGGAGCTGAGAGTCAAGACCGAGGAGCTACCATCTACACCACCCTCTCCCCTCCCCTCATCCCCCGTCCCGTCCCTCCCCTCCCTTCCCCCTTCGCTCCCCCCTTTTTCCAGATGGAGCAGGCAGGAGGCGGCGCTGACATGGATGGAGCTGAGAGACAAGATCGAGGAGCTTAGCTTCCGTTCACACCACTCTCTCCCCTCATACCCCGTTCCCGTCCCTCCCCTACCTGAGAGGCAAGATCGAGGAGCTGGCAGGAGGCGGGGCCGACATGGAGCAGAGAGGCAAGATCGAGGAGCTTCCGTTCACACCACCCTCTCCTCTCATCGCCCTTTCCCTTCCCCTCCCCTCCTCCCTTCCTCCCGTCCTCCCCTCTCCCCTCCTTGTATTTTCAGATGGAGCAGGCAGGAGGCGGGGCTGACATGGAGCAGAGAGGCAAGGTGGAGGAGTTTCCATTCACACTACTCTCTCCTCTCATGATCTCATCCCCGCTTCCCTCCCTCCCTCCCTCCCTCCCTCCCTCCTCCTCTCCAGATGGATCTGGCAAGGGGAAGCGCAGGCTCGGAGCTGAGAGGCTTTCTGAATCCCCGTCTCCTTCCTCCGCTCCCTCCCATCCTCCTCCTCTGTTTTTCCAGATGGAGCAGGCAGGAGGCGGCGCTGACATGGAGCAGAGAGGCAAGATCGAGGAGCTTCCATTCACACTACTCTCTCTCCTCTCATTATCTCATCGCTCCTTCCGTCTTCCCTCCCTCCTCCTTTCCAGATGGAACTGGCAAGGGGAAGCGCAGGCACGGAGCTGGGAGGCTTTCTGAATCCCCGTCTCCTTTCTCCCCTCCCTCCTCTCCTCCTCCTGTGTTTTTCCATATGGAGCTGGCAAGCGGCAGCGCTGACATGGAGCTGAGAGGCAAGACCGAGGAGCTTCCATCCGCTCTCATCCCCATTAGCTCCTCCCCTTCCCTCGTCCCCTCTCTCCTTCTCTTTCTCCAGACCGAGCTGGCAGGGGGGGCGCGGGCCTCGAGCTGAGAGGCAAAACCGAGGCGCTACTCTTTCCTGTTACTCCCCATCCCTCTTCACTTCACCTCGCCTCGTCCTTCCCTCCTCCCCTCCTCCTCGTTCCTCCAGATGGAGCTGGCCAGTGGCGGCGCAGACATGGAGCTGAGAGGCAAGATCGAGGAGCTACCATCCACACCACCCTCTCCCCTCATACCCCGTTCCCGTCCCACCCCTCCCTTCCACCCTCGTTCCACCCTTTCTCCAGATGGAGCAGGCAGGAGGCGGCGCTGACGTGGAGCTGAGAGGCAAGATCGAGGAGCCACCATCCCCTCTCATCCGCCTTCGCTCCTCCCCCTCCCTCGTCCCCTCTCTTCCTCTCTTTCTCCAGATGGAGCTGGCAAGTGGCGGCGCGGACCTTGAGTTGAGAGGCAAGATTGAGGAGCTACGAGCTGTTTCATCAGCCAGCGTTGCTCAGACCAATTCATCAATGGAGCAGGTACGATCCTACCCATGTGACTGCTCCCATACTCCATGCTTTCTCTCTTGTCATCACTCACGAAGCTGGCAAGATCGAGGAGCTGCGAGGGGTGTTGTCAACTAGCGTGGCTCAGACCAACTCGTCAATGGAGCAGGTACGTCCTAAAGAACAGCGCAGGTGCGTGCGTTGTGGGTGCAGTTGACCCCCTGCTGAAAGTGTCATTCACAGCGAGATTAGAGCTGCGAGCCGTGTCGTCAGCGAGTGTCGCTCAGTCCAACTCGTCGAGGAGCAGGTGAGTGGCGCCTGCCGTTAGAGTGTAATGGGTGCACCTGAACCCATACTCCATGAGTGCGTGCTCATCTCGTGTCATTCGCGGCGAGATTGAGGAGCTGCGAGCCGTGTCGTCTGCCAGTGTGGCTCAGAGCAGACCAACTCGTGCATGGCTGCTTACGTGCGCCCATCCTTGTAATTGTAAAGGGTGAAAGCTGATGCCATACTCCATGCCTCCATGCTCTCATGCAATTCACGGCAAGAAGATGGAGGAGCTTCGAGTCGTGTCATGTTGTCATCCAATGGGGCGCGGAGCAGACCAACTCGTCCATGCAGCAGGTGAGTGGTGTGTGATTGCCCATTGCAACCAACCACTCGTGGCTTGACACGTGGCAGTGTCGTGGAGCTCCTGTTCTACCTCTCGTCGCACGTGCTGACCGTGTTTCTTGCAAAGAATGTCAGTAGAGATGTGGAGCACGTGACACCTGTGTATCGCCACATCGCCATCGAGTCTGAGCTGAAAGCTGTGGTGCACACATCCTTGGTGCGTCCCTGTTGCACACACCAAGGACGCAACAGGGAGGCACAAATGATGTGTGCACCACAGCTTCCAGCTCTGATTCGGTGGCGATGTGGCGATACACGGGTGCCACGTGCTCCACCTCTCTGTCGGCCTTCTTCGCGAGAAACACGGCCAGCGCGTGTGACGAGATGTAGAACAGGAGCTCCACGATCCTGCCATGTGTCAAGCCACGAGTGGTTGGTTGCAATGGCATCAGCTGTGCCCTTTACAGTTACAAGGAAGGGAGCAGGTGCGCGCTAAAACTGCTCCATTTATGTGCTAAAACTGCTGCAGCAGGTACGTGCTAAAACTGCTGCAGCAGGTACGTGCTAACTGCTGCAACATCCTGCTTTATGATCCCCTCCTCCCCTCCCCACCCCACAGATGGAGCAGCAGTTTGCGGCGCTGAGCCGGAGGCTGGGCGATCTGGACAGGAGCGAGTGTGACGTCAGGTCTGGGAGCCTTATCCTCTCTCTCCCCTCCCTCCCCCCCCCCCCCCCCCCCTTCCCCCTCTCCGCTCCACCCCACCCCCTCTCCTCCTCCCCCTTACCAGATGCAGCAGCAGTTTGCGGCGTTGAGTCGGCGGCTGGGGGATTTGGACAGGAGGGTGACGTCAGCCATGCAGGACCCTACCATGCGCCTCGTGCTGCAGGGCAGTGCCCCCCTCTTCTCCCCCTCCCTGGGGGAAGGGGAGGACCGCTCTTCTCCCCCCTCGCTGGGGGAGGAAGGGGAGGAGGGGGAGGCACAGGGAGATTCGGAAAGGAGAGGGGAGGGGAGTCAAGGAGTGAGGAGGGAGGAGGGCGAAGCGAGGGAGAGAAGTGGGGAGGCGGTGGGGAGTGGAGAGGTGAGGAGGGGTAGTGGGGAGAGTGGTGAGGATGAGAGGCGGGAAGGCGAGGAGAGGAGGGAGGAAGGTGGGGGAGGGAGTGATGGTGCTAGGGTGGTACTGTGGGTGAAGGTGCCGTGGAGGGCAGCAGTACCAGTGGCGATCCTGCTGTTGCTGGTGCTCTTTCTGGAAACACCTAGTTTTTCTATATGTTCATCTTGTGTTATGGCACAGCGTTCTGTACATTATGTTGTTGCAATTGTCTTTAATGTTTGATTGCTAATGGGCGTAGTGTAGAAGTAATTCATTTCTAGCAATTTGTTACAAGATCGTTCGCATCGCAAGGCTCTCCTGTCGTGACTGACGGATGGAAGAACGTTGAACAGTAACGCAGGGAAATTCCCTCCCATTTCTGATCAACATTTTGGCGCCACCTGACAGATCATTTTCGTTTTTTTAGCGGATGTCACGCAGATCCTCCTGAGCCCTGGACCCTGATTGTTCCTGGTCCCGGAAAACTGCCAGATTTTCTCACATATTTGCAACCGCGTTCCATTTCCCGTGCTGGTGATTGCGACTCGAGCGTTCAGGGAGGTCTGTGCGTTCCACAGCGTTCAAATGAAATTCAGAACGGTTTTGAAATTCCACGAAAACAAGCGTTTGAAAGAAATGCCCGGCCCACCCCATCCGATCTCCCCTGGCCTGAGGGCGACCAAAGTGGATAAGATTGACGGTGGCGACGCGGTTTCGGTTGGAACAACACGAACCGTGTGCCAGTGTTCGCAGACAATCACAGCTGTATCAAGTGGTGACAGACAGAATCAACCATTGGCTGGAGGGGAGACGATGAGTCCGTGCCTCACACGAATTTATACTGCCACTGATTGGTGGATATTCACAAAAACAAGGAATTGAACATTTAGGGCAGATACAAAAGGTTTCGTCTCTCGAACACACAGCTGGTGGCGTGATGGCTGTGATGAGATTCCTCACCAACTATAGTTTGGTCGCGCATTGCTGGAACGAAAAAAAACACCTGAATTCGGCTTTTGGGATTTTCCTCGCCGCCAGCGCGGTGCCGCACCGTCAACCCAGCAGCTCGGAGCACGTCAACGCCAGGCCGTGTTTTCCTGAATCCAGCTGGGCAAGAAATTGTTCCGACTTGCACGCAACCTACCCACTCGTCGAGCCGCACTTGCCAATCAACCCCCTTTTGCAGCACTGTGCGCACCCGCTCAGTGCTTGCACACCTACCATTACGGAAGGTGACGAAAACAACTGAGAACGAACGAGTCGCATGTGCGCTGCGCACCGCCATCGTTCTTTCCACGACGACCACTCGTCGACCAGTCGTGGGTTATTGAGGCGCCAGGTGGCAGTGGTCATTTCGTCATGCTGTCGTTTCCCCGGCCCCTTTGTTCTTGGAACTGAGGCGATGGTCGTCGCTTCACGCAACTGAAGAACTTCCCTGGCATGGGTGGGACTGGTGTGGGAGACCCCACATCCTTCACCTGGAAGGCTCAGCAACACTGCTTCGCCGTCAGCAAGCGCACGAATCACGAATTTCCACCAACCTCTTTGGCTCAGGGGCAGGACAGCGGCACGTCATGTCTTCGAGCCGCTTATCTGCTGAATTTCGCACCCTGAATTCTGAGGGGTAGTCTAGTAAATATATTTAGTACACATTGAAGTAATATCCGTCTCACAAAAAACGGCCACTTAGATCATTTTCTGACACATGACAACTGTAAAGACAGTCTACAGTAATTCAACCTCCAGCACCAAGCAATTGGACTTAAAAAGCGCAGTCGTTTCGAGGGTGTTCTGAATTATTCCAGATTCAGAAACTTTCACAGCCCTGCCCTTCGCCTTGTCTGTTTTGCGAGAAAGGGCAACCCTATCCGTCCGTGGATAACGGATCAGCGTCAGGGGCGGGGCATAGTGCAGCACACAACCTTTCCCCCTTTCTTTTCCCCCCACCCAACCACACCCACACACCCAACCCCACCAACCCACCGCCTTTCCGCCTTTCGATCGAGGCACACCACCAGCCGCCACCGCTTCCCCCCCCACCACCAATCGACCAACCGACCCACCACCGCACGGCACAACAACACCGCCGTTCTTCCCCCCCGCACCCCATCCCCGACCACCCCTCCCCACTCACTCCCCTGTGACTTCTCCCTTCTGAAGAAGTAGAAATAGGACTCCCTTCTGGTACATTTCTCATCAGCCTTTTGTGCTCTCAACTCAAACATGCATTTCGACGACCACCGATCAAAGCTCAAATAGCAATCGTTATTCTAGACTGCGTTCATTCTTTCTCCGTTCCAGAAGTACTACGTTTCCGTCGTTTGCTTCAGTCGTCCAGTTTCTCAGAGACAGTCATCTGAAGTTGCTTTAGCGAAGTGTACAGACCAGACTCTCCTCGTACCTATTCTTATTTTCGTGTACATAAAACTTCACCCATGGCAACTGCACTAGCGACCTGCCCCTCTGTACCAAGAGCCTTCAGCGGATCTTCTGCCGCGCTTCGGCCACAAAAAGCATCGGAAAAGAGCCTCTCGTCACTCCGCGTGTCGTTTCCCGCCGCTCGCGTTGACGTCACAGCTCGTTCTGCCGTTTCATCTCGCGCCGTACGATGCCAGGCTCCCGCTGTTCTTGAGAAGGACGCGCAGCAACTGCAGCAGCTGTCCGTACCGTCATCGTTCGATTACAACGAGATGATGAAACGCCAGATGGCCAACCCGTACGAGTACCACCACGAGCTCGGTATCTACTACACACGCGTACACAAAAACATAATCGTCGGTTCGCAACCGCAAACTCCCGCTGACATCGACCGATTACAAAAGGAAGAAGGCGTGAAAGTGATTCTTAATCTCCAGCAAGACCATGATATCAGCTACTGGGGTGTGGATATCGGAGGTATTGTGAAGCGGTGTAAGGAAGTGGGGGTGGACCATCACCGGCGGCCGGCAGTTGATTTTGATCCCAATTCACTCAGACGCGAGCTTCCCCGAATGGTTGCGGTTATTGCAAAAGCTGTAGCGGAAGGCAAAACTGTATACGTGCACTGTACTGCGGGTTTGGGGCGTTCGCCTGCTGCTGTTATCGCGTATCTTTTCTGGTTCTCCGAACCCAAGATGGACCTGAACGCGGCGTACGAGCACGTTACATCTCTCCGGCCATGCGGGCCCAAGAAGGACGCGATCCGGGGTGCGACGTACGATTTGGCCAAGAACAGTCCGTACCAACCGCAATTCGAGCATCTGCCCGACTTCGCCTTCACTGACGTGGCGCAGTGGGAACGCGACCTTATCCGCCAACGAGTCTGGGGAATGGTTTAAATAGCACGATGAAATTCAGCGGTCAAGTTCTTTCATTCGTCACAGTCGCGCGAAACAGCAGAAATTCGTTCCATTGGATTTTTCCCTTGCGTTGGCTCGCCGCGCCTCGGCAGCAAAACGGAGGAGTTACTATTCTTGCGGAACTAGGTTAGCTCAAATAGGTCGTATTTTAGGCATGTTAGGAACCTAGGGTGAGTGTTCTCGCCCTGTTTTGTACAGTCGTTGTAGGGTTCATTAATTACTAACAAAACGTTTCTACCATATCAAGTTGAAACAGACTGAATAAACACCAATATAACAAATGGGGTTGAGCTGTGTCTAGAAATGAGAATGTTCCATCATTCCCCGGACAAAAGCCCAGGTGTGCTTCTAGGAAACATGAGAAGGTGTGGGATGGGTTTACTATATTTTATGGGCTAAATGCACTTACTATTGGGCATAAATGAGCACATCCAACTATAGTACCATACATGAACACGTTACACATGGAGTGACCTTGACGTCTTTCTGGGCTCTTTCCGCTTGATCTTGAACCAGCAGGGTTGCACTTCATACAGCACTTTGATTAAAGCTCCTTAATGAAGTCTGTTATTGTGGTAACCGCCTCGTCCACAGTGTTACTTAGGGAATGGTCTGCTCCAGCAATCAGAGCAGGGGTGGCACCACCCATAGCAGCACAGAGCCTGAAGGACGGGTGGTGAGGTGGGATGAGTTCGAGAATAGCATAAAATGGTTGGGTTATTGTCCAAAGTGCTACTCAGGGAGTGGTTCGCTCCAGCAATCAGAGCAGGGGTGGCGCCGCCCATAGCGACACCAGAGCCTGACAGGGTGGTGGGATCAATGATTGCGTGAAGAATCAGATAAGGAAGGAGGGAAAGAGAGGAGAAGGAAGCGAGGAGAGGGAAAGAGAGGAAAGGGAAGCCAGGTAAGGGAAACGAGGAAATGGAAGAGAGTAAAAGCAAAGGAATACACGAAGAGAAGATGTATGGAAGGGCAGCAAGGGAACAGGGGATGAAACTTGCACAGGCAAGGTAAGGAAAGAAAGAAACTAGAAAGAGTACCTCTGTAGCAGCTTCTCTTTGTCAATGGTTCTTGGCACGTATTGATCCTCTCCTGATAGAATCACCTGCGTGGATGGATGGGAGCAAGGTGTATACATGGATGGGAGCAAGGTGTATACATGGATGGGAGCAAGGTGTATACATGGATGGGAGCAAGGTGTATACATGGATGGGAGCAAGGTGGATACATGGATGGGAGCAAGGTGCATACATGGATGGGAGCAAGGTGTATACATGGATGGGAGCAAGGTGTATACATGGATGGGAGCAAGGTGTATACATGGATGGGAGCAAGGTGCATACATGGATGGGAGCAAGGTGTATACATGGATGGGAGCAAGGTGTATACATGGATGGGAGCAAGGTGTATACATGGATGGGAGCAAGGTGCATACATGGATGGGAGCAAGGTGTATACATGGATGGGAGCAAGGTGCATACATGGATGGGAGCAAGGTGTATTCATGGATGGGAGCAAGGTGTATACATGGATGGGAGCAAGGTGTATACATGGATGGGAGCAAGGTGCATACATGGATGGGAGCAAGGTGTATACATGGATGGGAGCAAGGTGTATACATGGATGGGAGCAAGGTGCATACATGGATGGGAGCAAGGTGCATACATGGATGGGAGCAAGGTGCATACATGGATGGGAGCAAGGTGTATACATGGATGGGAGCAAGGTGCATACATGGATGGGAGCAAGGTGTATACATGGATGGGAGCAAGGTGTATACATGGATGGGAGCAAGGTGTATACATGGATGGGAGCAAGGTGCATACATGGATGGGAGCAAGGTGCATACATGGATGGGAGCAAGGTGTATACATGGATGGGAGCAAGGTGGATACATGGATGGGAGCAAGGTGTATACATGGATGGGAGCAAGGTGTATACATGGATGGGAGCAAGGTGTATACATGGATGGGAGCGGTGTATACATGGATGGGAGCAAGGTGTATACATGGATGGGAGCAAGGTGTATACATGGATGGGAGCAAGGTGTATACATGGATGGGAGCAAGGTGTATACATGGATGGGAGCAAGGTGTATACATGGATGGGAGCAAGGTGTATACATGGATGGGAGCAAGGTGGATACATGGATGGGAGCAAGGTGCATACATGGATGGGAGCAAGGTGTATACATGGATGGGAGCAAGGTGTATACATGGATGGGAGCAAGGTGTATACATGGATGGGAGCAAGGTGGATACATGGATGGGAGCAAGGTGTATACATGGATGGGAGCAAGGTGTATACATGGATGGGAGCAAGGTGGATACATGGATGGGAGCAAGGTGTATACATGGATGGGAGCAAGGTGTATACATGGATGGGAGCAAGGTGCATACATGGATGGGAGCATGGTGTTTATGACAATGGCGCTACAATAACTGCTATTGGTATAAAATCGGACGCATGAATGACTGGCCCTGATTTCACCATGCCACACAACCCCACACCAAGCGTCTCACCAGGCACGGCCATGCGCCCATGTGCCCCAGCCGCTCCTTCAAGTTTCAACTCACCACGATGCCCCACGAGGGCACACACACAACCCCACACCATGTCACCGTCATCTCACCAGGCACGGCCATGCGCCCATGTGCCCCAGCCGCTCCTTCATCTAGCCACACGCAATCCCACACCATCCCAGTGAACCCACCCGAACACCCTTCTACATTCAAGCCTCTCACCAGGCAGCGCCCATGTGCCCCAGGCGCTCCTTCAACTCACCACACACAACCCCACACCATCGCTGTGAAACCCATGGTTAGATGAACGAATGAATTCAAGCCTCTCACCAGGCACAGCCATGCGCCCATGCGCCCCAGTCGCTCCTTCAACTCTCCACATTCCCACACCAACCCAGTGAACCCAGCCGCATCACCATCTCACCATCTCACATGGGTGCACGATCCTACATCTAACCCTCTCACCAGGCATGGCCATGCACCCATGTGCCCCAGCCGCTCCTTCACACACGAGATCATCTCACCACATAGCAAGGGAGCACACTCACAACCGCACACAACCCCTCATTAGGCACGGCCATGCGCCCATGTGCCCCAGCCTCTCCTTCAACTTAACACCATCCCACACCTTGCCATGCCGGGAACCCAAGAGAGCACACAAATCCACACAGTCTCACCAGGCATGGCCAGGCACTCAAGTGCCCCAGTCGCTCCGTCAACTCACCACAAGCTAACCCTCCCACCATGCACGGCCATGCGCCCCAGTCGCCCCTTCAACTCCTCCTCGTCTGAAAGTCCTGAGCTGAACATGTCATCATCTCACAATGCCACACCCGCTTACACAAGAGATCTCACACAAAGGCACAGCCCCACACCCTCTAAGCCTCTCACCAGGCACGGCCATGCGCCCATGTGCACCAGTCGCTCCTTCAACTCACCACGGGACCTCACCTCACCATATTAATCCCACACACAATCCCACACCATCTCTCCTCACCAGGCACGGCCACGCGCCCATGTGCCCCAATCGCTCCCTCAACTCCTCATCTGAAAAGTCTGAACTGAACAAGTCGTCATCCCCCCCTGTGCACGCAAGAGAGTGGAACCTGAGAAGTGAGAGGGCAGGTTGGAACATCGGATGGCATATGGCAGATGGGAGGGCAGATGGGAGGGCAGATGGGAGGGCAGATGGGAGGGCAGATGGGAGGGCAGATGGGAGGGCAGATGGGAGGGCAGATGGGAGGGCAGATGGGAGGGCAGATGGGAGGGCAGATGGGAGGGCAGATGGGAGGGCAGATGGGAGGGCAGATGGGAGGGCAGATGAGGGTAGACGAGATGAGAGGACAGGTATAGGCAACTTGCAAGCCAGGGAGAGGACGCAGCAAGAAGGTCAAACGTGGTGTATGAGAGAGCTATTCTGAGGATTCTCAGGAGAAATCTCAAGAGAAATCTCGCGAGAAATTTCACGATAAATCTCAGGAGAAATCTCAGGAGAAATCTGAAGAAAAATCTCAGGAGAAATCTCAAGAAAAATCTCAGGAGAAATTTTAGGAGAAATCTCAAGAAAGATCTCAGGAGAAATCACAGGAGGATTTCCAAAAGTATCTTCAGCACGAAAGCGCAGTGCTTTCTGCCTTTGTTGCAGGCTCCTTAGCTGGCTTGCAAGACCCAGATCTTAGTCGACTCAAAGTTTCTCAAAAGTCTCCCCCAACACAGAAGGCATTGGTCTACCCTCGTTGCAGGCTCCTTTGCTAGCTTGCTAGACCCAATTTTTAGTCGAACCACATGTATAGATGAGTTGATTCCTGAGATGTCTCAAAATCCGGCTGGCTTGCCAGACCCACCTGTATGCCGTGATTGGTGCGAGCGGGTCAGCACTTCTCGGCATCATCTCGGCGCCTCTGCCGCCCGCAATCATGGCTTGCGCCGCCCGCTTCATCGCCTCAAATGCCTCTTCAGCTTCCCTCCCCCCCTCCCTCGCCTGCTGCTCCATGCACTCCCTGTCACTCGTTGGCGCCTGGTGGGGGGTGAAAGGGAATGTGGGGGGGATGGGAAATCACGGCTTGTGCCGCCTCTTTCATCTCCTCAAATGCTTCCTCAGCTTCCCTCCCCGCCTCCCATGGCTAGTGCTTCTCAAATGGCTAGTGATCATGGCCTGTGCCACCCGTTTCATCTCCTCAAATGCCTCCTCAGCTTCCCTCCCCCCCTCTCTCGCCTGGTGCTCCATGCACTCCCTGTCACTCGTTGGGGCCTGGTGGGGGGAAGAGGGATGGGGGGTTATGGGGGGAGGGGGGAGAAATAGATATGAGGAGAACTGTGTGTCTTCCCTTCCCGCCCCCCTCGCGTGCTGCTCCATGCACTCTCTGTCACTCGTTGGCGCCTGGTTTGGGAAGAAAGGAAAGAAGTGAAACTGGGCTGTGGTGGGGGGGCTTCAATGTCTGTATTGGTGCGACTTTTGAGACCATCCATACAAATAAGTAATGCACTTACTCTTTATACCATCCATACGGGTAAGTGACGCACTGAGTCAAAAGTCGCACCGAAGAAAGGAAAGAAGTGAAATTGGGCTGTGATGAAAGGGCTTCATTGTCTGTGCATTGTCACCGGATTGGAACTAGGACTGGAAGCTAGGACTACTTCTGAAAACACCTGAAAGAACACATGGCGCCACTGGAAAATCACAACCTAAAACAGAACCAAACGCACCTGGAAAACTACCTGACGGCACCACCACCCACAGAATGCACCTGAAGTAAGAATGAACCTGGAAAACAACCACGCAAAAGGTGACAGCACCTGGAAAACCACCTGGAGAACCACCTGGCGGCACCTGAAGAATGGCTGCTTTGACAACGCTGCGGTGGGTGCACCTTGGGCTCTTGAGGTATGCCACTATGTCCTGATGGGGGGAGAGACGCGGGGGAGCATGTGGGGAGCGAGAGATGCAAGGTATACCACACTGCACCGCACTGCACCCCTCCGACACTAATGCTGCGATGGATGGCTTTAGCGCTCTTGAGGTATGCCACTATGTCCTGATGGGGGGAGACACGTGGGGGGGAGGGAATGGGGGACGGGATGAGAGGGGAAAGGTGGGTAGGGGGTGCATCTAGCGCTCTTGAGATATGCCACTATGTCCTGATGGGGGGACGGGACTGGGGGAAGTGGGAGAAGTTGGGGAGAATAAGGGAGCCGCATTACTCTGCTCTGCTCTGCTCTCATGTGCTCAGTGCTGCGCTGCAGTGGTGCATCTGGGGCTCTTGAGATATGCCACTATGTCCTGATGGGGGGATACACGTGGGTAAGCATGACGGGAGAGAGAGATACACGGTATACCACACTGCACCGCTCTCCACACTGCTGATTTCAATGCTGCGTTCTTGAGATACGCCACTATGTCTTGGCGGGGGGAGTGAATTGGGGAGGGAGAGAGATGAACCACACTGCATCGCACTCAACCACTCTCACATGATGACATCAACACTGGGCGGCGGGTGAATGTAGTGTTTTTGAGATACGCCACTATGTCTTGGTGGGGGAAGACACGTGGGGAGGGGGACACGTGGGGAGGGGGACACGTGGGGAGGGAGACACGTGGGGAGGGAGACACGTGGGGAGGGAGAGATGCACAGTATACCACATGGCACCGCATTGCACCCCTCTGACATCAACGCTTCTAAGGAGGGGGCATGCCGTATCCTCTGTTGAAATCACCTGGCACACCAGGTGCTCTGTCGTATTCGCCTGACACGCACGTCCTCTGTTGTATTCACCTGGCACGCTAGGTTCTCTGTTGTATTCACCTGGCAGCCCGTGCTATGGCCGACCAGGATGACCTCCGACGCCTGGTACCGCTTGGTGATGTAAGCGATGAGCTCATCTATTTCGGCAGCATCCTGCCATGGGAGATGGGGGGGGGGGTAGGGGGCATGGATGGAGCACTGACTTTCAAACTATAGGCATGGGCACGGGGAAGCGAATATGCTTTTGAGTCGACTCAAAAGCAGAATGTAGGCGTGGGCACGGGGAAGCGAATATGCTTTTGAGTCGACTCAAAAGCAGAATGTAGGCATGGGCACGGGGAAGCGAATATGCTTTTGAGTCGACTCAAAAGCAGAATGTAGGCGTGGGCACGGGGAAGCGAATATGCATGTGCGCGTATATATATATCCAAATAGGTCGATGACATGACAGCAGCTGAGTCCGCACCAGCAGCAGATTGAGTCGCATTGCATTGCCATACCTCCACCCGCCCTTCCTGCTGCTCCCACTCCTCACCTGCTCCCACACCCCACCTGCTCTAACGACGCAGCGCCGTATCCAAAGTAGGACGACGACAGCTGCGTCTGCAGCAGCGACCAATGGGCGGTTGCCAGCTCGGATGCCAGCCTGGCGGTGTACTGCGTCGGCAGCAGCCCGTCCGTGAGGCCACCTAGGATGATGACGTGGCGGGGGAAGTCAGACGAGCGGAAAGCAACCTGGGAGGAGAGAGGGAGAGAGACGGTTTGGGGGGGGGGTGGGGGTGGGGGGGGGGGGGAGGGGAGAGAGTATTATCTTTTTCCTTCCCTAGGATGATGACGTGGCAGGGGAAGTCAGATGAGCGGAAAGCAACCTGGGAGGAGAGAGGGAGAGAGACGGTTTTGGGGGAGGATAAGGGGAGAGAGTATTATCTTTCTCCTTCCCTGGGATGAAAACGTGACAGGGGACGTTGGACGACCGGAATGCAATGACTTTTGAGGCGCCTCAAAAGTCGGTTTGGGGGAGGAGAAGGGGAGAGAGTATTATCTCTCCTTCCCTACGATGATGACGTGGCAGGGGACGTTGGACGACCGGAATGCAATGTGGGAGGAGTGAGGAGAGTAGGGAATGAGTGAGAAGAAGATGGAAGGACAATGCGGAGGGCACGCTTTTAACGAGGACGCACTATGACGAGTACACACTGTAACGGGACGCACCTTCACGCCGATCTCCCCACACCGGAACAGCACTCTGCGCATCTCCATTCCCATCTCCCCCCCCCCCCCCCCCGCCCTGCCATTGCATGCTTATAAGCACTATAGCGAGGACGCACTATAACGAGTACGCACTATAACGAGGACGCACCTTCACGCCCATCTCTCCCCACCGAAACAGCACCCCGCGCATCTCCATTCCCACGCCCCCCTCCCGGCCATCCACGTTTTCCGCCTCCTCGTTTCTACCGCCGCTCGCCATTCCCCCGCTGTCACCGCCGCTTGTCACGGCGCTTGTCACGGCGCTCGTCACCGCGCTTCCACCAGCAAATCGCGGAACCCCTTCGGCGCTACACGACTGGCGAATCGCCTTTAGCCGTAACCTCCCGCCCTGCCGCTGGTTGCCCGTAGATTCCCGCCAAATTTCCGGCAGCACGGTATTCCCAAGGCGTCCTAATGGAGAATCTCTAGCGGAAAATCCTGGGATTGAGGAGTTCGTTAGACAAGACGGAATCCGTCGAGCAGTCTGAATCTGGAGTGGCCAGCTCGAGGTCAACCCTAACGAGCCCATGGGACGCCCATGGCCCACTGGCGGACTGACCCGTGGAAGGGCGCGCGCCGTCTGGATTCGGAATCCGCGGGATTTCAGAGCACAACTGGTGTAATGCCCAGGGCTATTATAATGGCGGTTACAAGGCTTTTATAATATTCCAATACAAAATAGTAGCTTTAACTAGCCTTAATAGCCTTGGAGATGAAGATCTTCTTGATGCCTTTGATGAAAAGCACTTGGAGTAGTAGTGTAGGGAGACTTGTGAGAGAGCCCAAAAGGACTTAGAGAAACAATCCCATTTCCAATTGTTTTGTTGGAGTGGGAGGTTGAGAATGAGCTTGCTTAGCTCAGACCCCCTCAATACACCCCTTGGGGAACTATCCCAACCATGGTTTCCATGGTGGGATGGTTCCTAGGCTTGGAGCCTATGTGGCAATTGTGTTGGGTTGGAAAACCCAACTTAGAACCATTCAATGGTTGTGTTTAGGATAGAGTAGATTGTAACACTTGTTTGGCAGTTTCTGATTGGTTGGAATTCCAACCTTCAACATTCTCTTGGTTGAGTTGGAAATGTTCCAAACCTCCAAAGTTGAGGCTTGGCAAACCCAAACCAAGTTTCATCCCAACCAACTCAACCATCTTCTCCAACTCTTCCTTTGTCGAGAGAAGTTCTCAACAATTGACTTAGAGAGAGATCGATGGTTGTTAGCTCGGTAGTTAGGGTAATACGTTACACTCCTCCCCCCCCAGGTGGCAACGTCTCCGTCGCCCCAGGGTGCCTCTGAGGACGAGTGCTTCGAGCACGGCGCACCACATTACGACCAGGGTCAACCCCGTCCACTGGTTGTGGGCCTGCTCGTAGAGCCAGGTCTTCCATATACGCTTGAACCGCTGCTTCGGTCAAGTGTTCCTCAGGCTCCCAAGAGTTGTGTTCCGGCCCATAGCCTTTCCACTGAATTAGGAACTCACGAACAGTTTTGCGGCCGCGTTGTCGATCACGGTGCGTTCGCACACGCTCGACTTCGTAAAAGAGTTCCTTCTCGAGAGCGATGGTTGGTGGCGGTAAGTACTTGCCTTCTGCAACGTACTTATTCAACAGAGACACGTGGAAGACGTTGTGAATCTGCAATGTCGCAGGCAATTTGAGCCTATATGCGACCTCACCAACACGCGCAATCACCTCGAAGGGCCCAATCCAACGAGGGAAAAGCTTTCGTGCTCCCGGGATCTTGAGACGAATGTTCTTCGTACTCAGTAATACTTTGTCGCCAACTGCAAAAACGACTTCCCGGCGTTTCATGTCGGCATAGGATTTTTGCCTCTGTTGGGCAAGCTGCAGCCAATGGCGAGCGGACTTCAATGCCGCTTGCTGATTTCCAATAAAGTCCTTTGCGGCAGGGATTTTGAGGTTCTTAATCCCATGCGTCGCGGGGGTTGTGGGGTGCCGACCACAGTTCAGGACAAAGGGTTTCTCATGGGTGCTTTCATGCACAGAATTGTTTACAGCGAATTCCACGACTGGCAACAATTCATCCCAATCGTCCTGAGTTGGGCTTATGAAAGAACGAAGCATTTGCTCAAGAGTGCGGTTGGTCCGCTCTGTCTGTCCATCCGTTTGCGGGTGGAACGCAGACGACATCTTGAGTTTCGTTCCGAGTGTCTTAATGACCTCTTGCCAGAACCGGCTTGTGAAGCGCGGGTCTCGGTCAGACACCATCACACGAGGCAAACCGTGTAAGCGGAAAACGTGTGTCACAAACAACTTTGCCGTATCTTCCGCAGACACGTCAGTCGTCGTGGGCACGAAGTGCACCATTTTGGTCAAGCGATCCACAAACACTAGTATCGCTGTATGACCATCTCGCGTCTTGGGGAGATCGGTGATAAAATCCATCGATACACTCTCCCAAGGTTCATCGGGAATCTCAAGTGGTTGAAGCAGACCACCAGGCTTCTGTGTGTGTGAAGATAAGCAGTAGAAGAAGGCGCCATAGCTAGGAAAGCCCTAGCTAGGCAAGAAACAGTTTAGGCAAAAGAGGATTCACTAGCAGGAATGAGGATACAAATAGCAAACCCTAGAAGGGTTGTACTCGCTATAGAGCACCCCACTACAGGCTAGAGCATAACATTCTGACACACCCCCATAGCCAAAGTGGGGTGTAATCAGCAGAGCAAGCAAAACAGAACAAGCTCAGGGTGGATCACAATGTCACCACACATTCTGAGCACAAGTACAAGAAGCAATAGTTTAAAGTTCACAATTATGAGCAAAGCTAGAGGCTATCGCAGAGGGCAAGTGAGGAGGAGGAGGCGAGACTGTAAGAGGAGAGGAGATAGGAGGCGACGACTGAAGCTGCAGACACACGGGCAACAGGAGGCACACTGGCACAGCGGCTACCGGAACAGCGCTCCGGACTACTGGAGTAACTGGCCCCGCGGCTAAAAGTAGCGGCAGACGAGCAACGAACCCACGGGCGACTGGCACAGGTGGCTGCGACTGGGCTACCGGAGCAACTCCCCGGACTACAGGTGCTGCTGGCACGACGGCAACCTTCGTTCAACCTCCCCAAACAGTCCCACCCCCCCTGACACACACCCCCTGCTTCACCCCTAGCTCCACTCCCCCTTCACCCCCCTTAGTACCACTCCGACGGCTCCAACAGGTCCACCCCCCTCAGCGGCAGCTGCAGCACTGGGAGACGGAGGAGGAGGAGGAGCAGGGGACGGCACACAGAAGCTGCACCCCCATGCCCCCCACCCCCAAACCCTAATTCAGGAGAACGGGCAGTAGCAGGGGTGGGGCGCCATCAGAAGCATGGGGGACAGCGGGCAGCGCAGGGGCAGCGAAGAACGGGCCGCCCACGGGCCTGGCACAGCCGCCCGAACCGCGCGCAGGCGGCCCGAGCCGCGCTCGGGCCTGGCGCAGCCCGTACGGGCCGCGCGCGGGCCTGGCGCAGCCCGTACGGGCCGCGCGCAGGCCTGGCGCAGCCCGTACGGGCCGCGCGCGGGCCTGGCGCAGCCCGTACTGGCCGCGCGCGGGCCTGGCGCAGCCCGTACGGGCCGCGCGCAGGCTGTACGGGCCGCGCACAGGCCACGACGGGTGACGGGGGGCGACGCGCGGGTCCCCGTCGCCCGTCGCAGCGCCTCCCGGGAGCGACGCGCTGCGTGACGGGGCAGAAACCCGCCGCGCGCCTCGGGGCGCACGGCGGGCAGAGAACCGCCGCGCGCCTCGGGGCGCACGGCGGGCAGAAAACCGCCGCGCGCCTCGGGGCGCACGGCGGGCAGAAAACCGCCGCACGCTCCGAGCGCGTGGCGGGATGAAAAATCCGTTGCACGCCACGGGGCGTGCAACACAGAGAGTAGCAGTAGCAGCGGAAGCAGTGAGGTGGGGCCCACAGGCCAGGAGCATATCGCTCTAATACCATGTGAAGATAAGCAGTAGAAGAAGGCGCCATAGCTAGGAAAGCCCTAGCTAGGCAAGAAACAGTTTAGGCAAAAGAGGATTCACTAGCAGGAATGAGGATACAAATAGCAAACCCTAGAAGGGTTGTACTCGCTATAGAGCACCCCACTACAGGCTAGAGCATAACATTCTGACAGTGTGCTCGGCTTGTTCCGTGCACACGTGTCACAGCGAGTTACAAACTGCTGGACCTCAATGCCCAATCCCGGCCACCAGTATACATCACTGAGGGCCCACCGGGTTTTCTTGACACCCAGGTGTCCTCCATACTTAGTGGCGTGCACCTCTGCGAGAATATCATTCCGCAGGTTTCCCACATGTGGGACTACAATTTCTTTCTTGTGCCACCAGAGCTCATGCTCCCACAAGAGATTGTTTGTATTCTGTGGGTTCTGAAACCAAGGGTCAATATCATACCCTGCGCGGATGCGTTTCAGAAAACCACCAAAGGCAATCTCGCTCACTCGAGCAGCTGCGAGGATGTTGAAACAAGCAGCAAACACAGCTTCATGTTCCTTATCATCAACACCCGTTGCTGCCCCAATCGGCTGTCTGCTCAGAGGATCAGCCATGTTCGTCGAGCCCGCTCGATATCGAATATCGTAGGTGAACCCACTCAGGAGTTCAGCCCATCGAGCTTGACGGCGGGTGAGTGTGGCTTGAGTGGCAAAATAGGTGTTCGGACAGTGGTCGGTCGTGACCACAAAGTCAACACCTTCGAGATAACATCTCCATGTTCGTAGCGCATGCACAACCGCCAACAATTCTTGTTCGGAAGTTGTATAGCGCTGCTCAGCCGGTGAAAGCTTTCTACTCTCAAATGCCACGGGGCGTCCTTCTTGCAAAAGAACTGCTCCAATCCCTACTGTCGAGGCATCAGTTACCACCTCGTAGGGCTTGGACGGGTCTGGCAAAGCCAGCACTGGAGCATTGGTCAGCATGGTTTTCACCTCCTCAAATGCCTTCTGGCATTGATCGGTCCACTGCCAAGCATTACCCTTACGAGTGAGGGCAGTCAGTGGGGCGACTACGGAGGAATAATTTTCCAAGAAACGGCGAAAATAGTTCGCAAGTCCAAGAAATGATCTGACCTGTCCCACGTCCTGTGGAACGGGCCACTGTTGGACTGCCGCCACTTTCTTTGGATCAACTTTGAGGCCATCGCTGCCTACCAAGTGACCAAGGTATTCCAACTCGCGTTTGTAGAAGTGACACTTCCACAATCGAGCAAAGAATTTATGCTCTCGCAGTTTTCCTAACACCCATTTCAGGTGTTGCGTGTGTTCTTCTTCGGTCTTCGAGTACACGAGGATGTCATCCAAGTATACCAGGACGAATTGGCCGATTGCCTCCCGAAACACATCATTCATTGCTCGCTGAAATGACGCGGGAGCATTCGTCAAGCCAAAACTTAACACACGCCACTGAAAATGCCCGAACGGCGTTCTGAAAGCCGTTTTTGGAACATCTTCTTCGGTGATTCGTAGCTGATGATACCCCTGAGCTAAGTCCAGCGCACTGAACCACTGAGCTCCCTGGAGCCGATCGAACAGATCCTCAATTCGTGGTAGAGGGTATCTGTTCTTCACCGTAATCTTGTTCAAGGCACGATAATCTACGCACATGCGTAATCCTCCGCCCTTCTTGTTAACGAACAAAATTGGTGCTCCGTAAGGGGATGCACTGGGTTCAATCCATCCTTTTCTGAGGTATTCCTCGATCTGTTGTTTGGCCTCTTCGTACTCAGCTGGACTGAGGCGATACAGAGGTCGAAAGGGTGGAACCTTTCCTGGTTCAATAGGGATGGTGTGACCCACTGCGCGGTCAGGCAGAAGTCCATCAGGGATGGTTTCAAACACTTCCTTGAATTCCTCTGCCAGTATTTTCATTTGAGGAGGGAAATCCTCAATTGCTGGCTCCGAGGCCTCGACATTCTCAAGCTGTACCACGAATAGTGTATCAACCGACTTAACAGAATGCCCGAATTGGTTGGCCAACACACACAGCGCGCTGGGACGTTCAGGCGTCTGTGTTTCAGTGGGCAAAGTATCATTGACTTGCCACTGGATTGCCTTTCCGTTCTTGTTGAACGAGACAATGTTGTACTGGAAGTCCAGAATAACTTCGTTGGCTCTCAACCAATCCATGCCCAGGATGAGGTCGACTCCTGACAAAAGTGGTAGGACATATACGCGAACTGTTTCGCTATAGTCCTGTACTTTCATGTCGATATGTGTCTGTCCTTTACTTAGAATGACACGATCGTCACCCAAGCGGATGGGACACGACGGTCCTACAACGAGGACGTTGCGTGTCGTAACCCAAGTTTCATCAACAAGGGAAACCGACGCGCCTGTATCGACGAGAATCCTTGCTTCGTCCCCATTCATGCGTCCAGATAACAGTAGATTCTGTTGAAATCTTGGACGGATGGGACAAGCGACAACAAGTTTAGGAGGTCGAAAGTACACCCTAAATTTGTTGTGAGCGCGTCCAAACCTTTGGGATGTGGTCCACCAAACATGGTGCCCCTTGTCCCATGTTGCCAGGATATGCCATTCGTGAAATCGGCGGAACAACTCTCCTTTCACGATTCGAGTCACCAATCCCACTGACGTGAGCGGGTGCTCTTGGACACAACGGTCCACAATATCCATGATTGCTGGCAACTCGTTGAACGAGCAAGAGATGATTGAAAATTTATCTCTCAAGGATTCAATTGAGATGTTTTCAAGTGGATATGATCGAGTTTTAAAAACAGATTTTTCATTAATAGAAGAGGCATACAAACAAGCGATTTTGCATGATGCAAGCTTCTCTAGCTTTAGCAAATCCTCATCACGAAGGACATAAGCCTCATCTACTCGATCTCGCACACCAACTAGGTACCCACCCCCTAGTTGGACTTCGGAAAATCCTTCGGGCCCGAAGGGCCAGAACCATCCGGCTTCTTGCCCTGGTTGGGCTTGCCGGAGTTCTTGACGGACTTCCTCCAACGGCAGTGATAGGACTTGTGCCCGAGCTTGCCACAGATGCGGCAGCCTGCCGGGGACTTATCCTCATCCTGAGGATCCTTGGCAGGCCCAGCATGGGCCCTCTTGGACTGAGTCCCAGAGGATTCCCCCTTCTGCTGATAGGGCCTCTTCCAAGAGCCACTGCCCCTGTGTGCCTGAGTCCTGTTACCACCCCCCCTAGGGCCTTCGGCACTAGGCTGCTGCTGAGCACGAGCGTGAGTCATGTACGCACGGAAATTCACATCCGTGTCAATGACCTGCTCCTTGCACTCCTTGTAGGTCCTCCACTGGTGCTCCCCGCGCACAACATGCACACGCTTGATGTGCTCAGGGAGACCCTTGAAGAATTGGTGGATGACCTCGCTCTCAGGAAGAGCAGTCTTCAGCAGCGACGGAGTTTTCTCAAACTCCTTGGCGTACTCGCGTACAGGCTGGTCACCGCACTGGATGTTCTCCAGGCGGCTACGCACCTCGAGCGCCGGGGGCTGACTCAGGAATGCCGCCAGCATGGCAGCTTTGAACTCCTCCCAGCCAAAAGGATGGCCATTAGCCTCTGCGTGGCGCTTGTTGGCATACACCAACTTGCTCGCAGTGTCGTCCAGGGCAAGGGTTGCAGCGACCACACGAGCCTCGCTACGCACATTGTGGATGGACATAAAGTCCTCCGCAATGGAGAGCCAAGTCTCGACGTCGGTCTTGCCATGGACAAAACGAGGCAGGGCCGAAGGGCAGGAGCCAAAGGCAGTTGCTGCTGCAGTAGGAGGCTCAGCACGTGCTCCAGTAGGAGGAGGAACAGCAGGAGGTGCATCAGCAGGTGCAGCACGGCTGTTAGCGGCGTTGGCGACTCGCTCTGCTGCAGGAGCAGGCTGGTAGAGGTTTCCACGCCGGATCTCCCTGTACTGGGTCTGAAGCACAGAGATGCTTTTCTCCTGCTTCTTGAGCTGATCCTGCACGAACTGAAGAGTGTTGTGCAGGTCCTGAATGAGGCTGGAGGTGTCGTTTTCCTTAGGGATCAACTGCACCTCCCTGGTCAGCTGCTCAATCAAGGCCTGAAGCTTAACAGAATCAGCCTCCAAGTTCTGGATACGACACTGTTGCACTCCAATGAGAATATTCTGCTCCGTGAGTTGAGTCTGGAGCTTGACAGCAATGTTCTCAGTTTCATTGGAAACACCCTCATCAGAGCCAGCCTCTTCCTCATTTTCAGCATCAGCCTCAAGGTCAGCTTCACTTCCATTGATCTCCATGTCAACCACGAAATCCTCAAGGTTGAGATCAATGTCAGCAGCAGCAGCAGCATTATCTCCCTCAGTGCCAACAACGGGCACCTCCTTAGTAGCATCCATCTCTTGACCAGCAGCCATGAAACAGGTTAAGGAGAGGAGATATCAACATATCTTATAATAATCTTTAAGAAATCTGATTACTCTTATAGAATAATCCAATACATAATCTCTTAAGATAGACTTTTTTGCCAAATCTCTCTATCACCTCAATGATAGAGCAAGATATACTCAAGAGAGTAATCCTCAACAAGCCCTTTATAGATCTGAAGGTGCACTCTTCTACACAAAGTAGATCAAGAGTCTTCCACCAAAGGTGGGTAAGAGAAATTAATCTCTTCAAATTTCTTCTCAATGTTGATGAAGAAAAATGAGCTCCTTGTAGATCTTGAAGCTCCAATGGTGTGTTGAGGAGATTGAAGCTTGAAGCTTGGAGATCTTGTAGAAGCTTTTGTAGATCTTGAAGAACCACTTGTAGATCTTGAAATTTCTTCAAAATCTTCAAAGATCTTGATAGCTCCTTGGATGAAATCCTGGATCCACAAGCTAGGATCCTCTAAAAAAAAATAGTCCAAGTAGCAAATGGCCACACAAGGCCAAGGAAGAACCTTGCTCTAGATACCAATGTAACACCTCGCTACCCACTGGGTCAAAACGAGGGTGTTATTTGGCGCAGCGGAGTGCCCTTAACACAGCCCACAGGCGTTACACTCGTCCCCCCCTGGTGCCAACGTCCCCGTTGGCCCTGGACTTCAGGAAGTCGGCCCCCTGCCGCTGGGACCTAGATTTCGCAGTGCTGCTGGCTGCGACTTCGCTGGTTGCTCAGGCCAGCGGAGGATCGTTCGCTGGGTTCGAGCTGGTTACAACCGCACTTCAGTTCTCGCCAAAGGCGGAAAGTGTGGTCCAGCCGGGATTCGAACCCTAGGCTCTGATACCAATGTAATGCCCATGGCTATTATAATGGCGGTTACAAGGCTTTTATAATATTCCAATACAAATTAGTAGCTTTAACTAGCCTTAATAGCCTTGGAGATGAAGATCTTCTTGATGCCTTTGATGAAAAGCACTTGGAGTAGTAGTGTAGGGAGACTTGTGAGAGAGCCCAAAAGGACTTAGAGAAACAATCCCATTTCCAATTGTTTTGTTGGAGTGGGAGGTTGAGAATGAGCTTGCTTAGCTCAGACCCCCTCAATACACCCCTTGGGGAACTATCCCAACCATGGTTTCCATGGTGGGATGGTTCCTAGGCTTGGAGCCTATGTGGCAATTGTGTTGGGTTGGAAAACCCAACTTAGAACCATTCAATGGTTGTGTTTAGGATAGAGTAGATTGTAACACTTGTTTGGCAGTTTCTGATTGGTTGGAATTCCAACCTTCAACATTCTCTTGGTTGAGTTGGAAATGTTCCAAACCTCCAAAGTTGAGGCTTGGCAAACCCAAACCAAGTTTCATCCCAACCAACTCAACCATCTTCTCCAACTCTTCCTTTGTCGAGAGAAGTTCTCAACAATTGACTTAGAGAGAGATCGATGGTTGTTAGCTCGGTAGTTAGGGTAATACGTTACAACTGGCGTACTAGGGACTATGTTTCCGCGTAAGTGAGGTGGTAGTGATGAAGTTGGAAGATGGAATTCACGTACGTATTCGTTATTACTCTGTTCAGCTTTGTTTTTAGTGTTTTGTGAGCATATCTAAAGTATGCGGTTACAGAATTTACAGTATTGTATATTTCTTCTGATTGACCATCACTCTTTTGATACCATAGGATGGTAACAATATTTTTTTAAACCTTTGTGCACCAAATCAAGGTTGTCGCTCGTATGGAATTGTGCTTATAATTATTAACAAATCAGTGCACAGTCAACTTACGGTAATCAATACAAAGAGAAGTGGTCGTTTTAGTTCTCTATCACTCTCGGGGAGATTGAGCCAGCAGCAGGGATGTAGGAGGAGCTTGAGAGTTGAAACAATTGGACAAGGGGTCTCCGACTGACCTACTGTGGGTTGTCCAATGTAGGCCAGCGTGTATGAGAACACAGACTACTGGTTGTTCAATTCATTGAGGGTGGTCATTTGAAATTCTCCCCAGAACATGAATGAGAGAGTGGCCACCGCTGCAATCCCTGTGGGATGACAGCAAGATGACACCACAGCAGAGCCAAAATACCAGAAACATCAATGGTTGCCACAGGCCCTGAACCTCCTGATCAAATATTCAGCTTGCTACCTCTGGTTGGCCAATTCAGGGTTGAGGGCTTAACACAAAAGAGGGGAAAAAAATATTGGCTTTCTACGGATCTCTTTGCTCTAATATATTCAGCATTCTCTCTGCATGCATACGATATTGTCTTGGACATGAGTCCTCGCTACTTTAATCTATTTGGCACCCAGGATGTAATTGCCATGGGAAGTATGACACCGAACACACCCTCAACAGCAGTGGGGCCTCCCGTTGCTGGAACAGCACCCTCCCCTCTTGCAGCACATCTGGCCTCCGCAGCACGGGTACTCCGAGTCCTGCAGATTACCCCAAAAAAGGAGAGAAAAACATGAGTGGATTAGCACAAAACAACAGTTTATATTCCTCGCACCAGCGGTGCAGCACCCTCCCCTCCTGCAGCACATCTGGCCTCCGCAGCACGGGTACTCCGAGTTCTGCAGATTACCCCAAAAAAGGAGAGAAAAACATGAGTGGATTAGCACACAACAACAGTTTATATTCCTCGCACCAGCGGTGCATCACCCTCCCCTCCTGCAGCACATCTGGCCTCCGCAGCACGGGTACTCCGCGTCCTGCAGATTACCCCAAAAAAGGAGAGAAAAACATGAGTGGATTAGCACACAACAACAGTTTATATTCCTCGCACCAGCGGTGCAGCACCCTCCCCTCCTGCAGCACATCTGGCCTCCGCAGCACGGGTACTCCGCGTCCTGCAGATTACCCAAAGAAAGAGAGAAAAACACGAGTGGATTAGCACAAAACAACAATTTATATTTTTTTAGCACTGAAGGTGCAGCACCCTCCCCTCTTGCAGCACATCTGCCCCCCGCAGCTCGGGACCTCCGAGTCCCGCGCATTTGCCAATACATTAAGAGAGAGGGGTAGAGGGAGACCGGGGAAAGTGGGGTAAAGGGAAGAAGGGAGAACGGCGCGAACGGGAAAAGATAGATTAGGGAAAGAGGGTCAACGGGAAAGGGGTTAATCGGGAGGAAGGACGGGAAAGGAGAAGGAGAGATAGGAAAACGGGAGCGATCGGGGCGAAGAGAGAAAGCAAAACGCACAATTGAGCAAGCACCACCGCAAAGATGGTGAGCAGGAGGGGAGAAGTGGAATAGGGGCAGAAGAAGAGGGGGGGTGGGGTGGGGGGAATTTGTGGGGGCGAGGGGGGGAGAGGGGGGGGGGGGGAGGAGGGTGGGGAGGGGAGAGAACGCAGCATGCGCCGCCGCAGAAGGTGCTGGGCAGAGAGTTTCCCGGGCGGCCCGCCCGTAGGGCGGGGGAAGCGGGGAAATGGTGGGAGAGGGGAGCGAAGAACGTGCATTCCAGCAAGCGCCGCCGCAGAAGGTGCTAGGCGGAAAGGGAGAAAAGGGATAGGGGCAGAAGAAGGGGGAGCGGGGGGGGGGGGGGGAGGGGGAACGTATAATGCAGCACGCGCCGCCGCAGAAGATGCTGGCCGGAAGGGCAGGAATAGGGTCAGAAGGGAGGGAGAAGGGGTAGAAGAGGGGGGAAGGGGACGTACAATGCAGCAGGCGCCGCCGCAGAAGATGCTGGCCGGAGAGTTCCCCGGGCGGCCCGCGTAAGGGCAGTAGCCCTCGCCGCTTCCGCCGCTGCTCGACGCGCTCCGCTTCCCGTGCTTCTTCGGCTTGTATGACCCGCTGCTGCCGCCGCTGCCGCTGCTGCTTTGCGAATCGCTGGAAGATTTGAGCATGCGCCTGCTGTGATCACTGCTGGTGGCGTCCAACGGGAGTGACGTCATGTCCGCTTCACTGGCGCCAGAACCGTTTTCAGAAGTCGCGGCCGCTCGCAGTAGGAGTTTTTCGGAGGATATGGCGACGATTGCGGTCGCCACGAGTGCCAGGAGGAGGAAACGAGTGGTGGAAGCCATTATGCTCGTGGCGCGAGCAGGGATGATAGCGTGACGCGAGTAGCGGGTATTCTAGGAAATTTAAACTCAGGATAAGCTGATGATATGATCGATAAAGAAGTTGATTCGACTGATAAGTTATTGGGATCAGTCCGATACTTATGCTGATCGCGTTTCAGGCAGCATGAATCAGGTGGTGTCGACGATAGCAGGTGCTGTCGAGACTACGGGGAAATGAAGCAGCAGTTGCGGTGCGGAGGTTGGGTTGGGTTGGGTGGTGAAATTCTGTCAGCGGTTGATATCAGGATTTCTGAACACAGTGTTCGGCGAAGCGCGCAATGTCGCGTGGCGGCGAATGGGATGGGAGACATTTTTCCCGCGTGGTGTGGCGTGAGGGAGACTGACGGGGGTGGTGGTGGTGTGGTGTCTCTGGCAGGGCACTTTTCATCGTGGCGCCGCGCTGCTGGTCAAAAGCTGGAGTCGTGGTCCACTTTTTCTGACCGCACAGCCGTATGGTTTCGGAAGGTTCAAAATCGCTTTTCTACGGTTCGGAACATATTTGCGGGCTTATCAGGGAACTGAGAAAATGTTCAGTCGGCTGACTGCGTCAGGGCTGTTCAAGGCTTCAAGTTTCCGTTGACCCGAGAACTGTATGGTTATAGAGAGCTTCGATAATTTACAACATCAGCATTTGCTTCGCTAACGTTTCAAACAACAGCAACAACTTTCCCAACTTCTGCTCATCCATAATGTTCAAAACAGATACTCAACTGGTTCTAAGGGACGGAAGTAAACACAATTTTCATTTTAATGCAGTAAACGGAAGTACGAATAACAAAGCTGTGGGTTGTTTGCAACCAGAACTGCTTTTGGTAAGGATGATATGATGCAGCAGCACACCACACAATCCCACACCACACCAAAACATACTGCACCATACACCACACACGCCAATCTGTTCTGTCTCCATCAGCTCTCTTTCATCAGATACGTTCTCCACTCCTAGCATGTCGCATCGCATCGCCACTCTCATAACACCTTGTCGCATAGCTTCGCCACTCCTGGTAGCTCCTCGCATAGCTTCGCACTCGTTCGCGTAGCTTCGCCAGCGCCTGCCGCCGTCGCGCTCGCGCGTCTTCACGAATCAGGCACACCCTTTCATCCGTACACGGGCGCCCGTCCGTCCGTCCGTCCGTCCTTCCGTCCGTCCGTCCGTCCGTCCGTCCGTCCGTCGCGTCCGTCCGTCCGTCCGTCCGTCCGTCCGTCCGTCCGTCCGTCCGTCCGTCCGTCCGTCCGTCCGTCGCGTCCGTCCGTCCGTCCGTCCGTCCGCATCCAAGGCGCTGTTCATCCTCGCGAGTCGCGAATCATCTTGCGGTAGAGGTGCGTTTCGCGATTCACCCGTCGCTTGCCTTTGATGTGATTCACCCCTCGCCTGCCTTGTAATCATTCCAAAAGTCATCGTGAATGTCAGCCGTTGGATCACCTTGCTATAGAAGTGAGTCCGCGCCCCATCCCCTCGCATGCCGGCAGTGTTTGTGCCTGTGAATGAATTCTCCATCTCCTCTGTCTCTTGAGTCAACTCAAAAGACTTTTGAGTCGACTCAAAAGTCACCTCATCCCCTCGCATGCCGGCAGTGGATGTGCCTGTGGATGAATTCTCGATCTCCTCTGTCTCACCTCATGCAACCCATCAGGCGCCATGGGAGCAGAACAAGCGGAGGATCTAGGCGCAGGGGAACCAGCGGAACCAGCAGGCGCCACTATGGGAGCGGCGTGTCTAGGCGCAGGGGTCCAGCGCTCGATGCACCTGTGGATGAGCTTTGATTCGCCCCGAAATCCCCCCCGTCCACTCTCGATCTCCTCTCACCCCATGCAACCCAGCAGGCGCCATGGGAGCAGGGTATCTGGACGCAGGGGAGCGAGCGGAAGCAGCAGTTTATCCGCCTGTGCAATGCGCTTTGACTCGCCTTTCATTCCTGAACCTTTCACCCCATGCAACCCAGCAGGCGCCATGGGAGTAGAGTATTTAAACACTCTAGGGAAAGAAGCGGAACCAGCAGCAGCCGATCCGCCTGTGGAGTGGAGTGGAGTGGATGAATTCTGACGCGTTTCAAACTCCTCTCTCCCACTCTCGATCTCCTCTCACCCCATGCAACCCAGCAGGCGCCATGGGAGCAGGGTATCTGGACGCAGGGGAGCGAGCGGAACCAGCAGTCGGTCTGCTGCCTGCCTGTGGATGGGCTTTGAAGGCGTCTGTTTCCCCTCCCTTCCATCCCCTATCCTCTCCTCTCTTTCCTCATGCCACCCAGCAGACGCCATGGGAGCCGAGTATCTAGACGCAGTGGAGCAAGCGGAACCGAGTATCTCCGTCTCCGCAGTGGAGCAAGCGGAAGCAGCAGTTGATGCACCTGTGGATGAGCCAGGCAACCCTCCATTCATTTTCATCTCCTCTCACCCCATGCAACCCAGCAGGTGCCACCATGGGAGCAGTTGATGCAGCAGTGGATGTGCTTTGATCCCCCCGTCCACTCCTGGTCCTCTCACCCCATGCAACCCAGCAGGCTCCATGGGAGCAGAGCAGAGTATCTAGGCGCAGTGGAGCAAGCGGAACCGAGTTTCTACGCCTCAAATTCACCCCTTCCACTCGTGATCTCCTCTCACCCCATGCAACCCAGCAGACACCACACCATGGGAGCGGAGTATCTAGGCGCAGGGGAACGAGCGGAAGCAGCAGTAGAAGTTTCTGTGGATGAAGTCTCAGGCAACTCAACTGCAAGTCCCTCCATCCACTCTTCATCTCCTCTCAACGTGCAGTGCAGTATGCAAGAGTGTGGCTTGCGGTCGGTCTGCTGCCTGCCTGTGGATGAGCTTTGAAGACGCCTCACACCCCTCCCTTCCACCCCCTATCCTCTCCTCTCTTTCACCATGCCACCCAGCAGACATCGCACCATAGGAGCCGAGTATCTAGACGCAGGGGAACGAGCGGAAGCAGCAGCCGGTGTGCCTGCGGTTGAGCTTTGAAGACGCCTCATACCCGTCCCTTCCACCCCTTATCCTCTCCTCTCTTTCCTCATACAACCCAGCAGACATCATGGGAGCAGAGTATCTAGACGCAGGGGAGCGAGCGGAAGCAGCAGTGGATGTGCCTGTGGGTGAGAATCCCCCTGTCCACTCACTCACACTGTCCTCCCCCCAGCAGGCATCGCAGCATGGGAGCAGGGTATCTAGACGCAGGGGAACGAGCGGAAGCAGCAGTGGATGTGCCTGTGGGTGAGAATCCCCCTGTCCACTCACTCACACTGTGCTCCCCCCAGCAGGCATCGCAGCATGGGAGCAGGGTATCTAGACGCAGGGGAACGAGCGGAAGCAGCAGTAGAGATTTCTGTGGATGAGAACAACCCTGTCCACTCACGCTGTGCGCCCCCCATGCAACCCAGCAGACACCACATCTTGGGAGCGGAGTATCTAGACGCAGGGGAAGGAGCGGAAGGAGCAGTCGACGTACACCTGTGGATGACTTCTCAACCTCCTCTCACCCCATTCAACCCAGCAGGTGCCACCATGGGAGCGGAGTATCCATCTAGACGCAGGGGAGCGAGCGGAAGCAGCAGTGGAAGTTTCTGTGGATATTGTGATGAGGCTGAAAGTCCCCACGTCCACTCCCGGTCTTCCCTTGATGCAACCCAGCAGGCGCCATGGGAGCGGAGTATCTAGACGCAGGGGAACGAGCGGAACCAGCAGTAGAAGTTTCTGTGGATGAGCGTCTGTCAGCAGAGCCAGCCGCTGAGGCGCGCACGCCAATGACTCTGGAGCGGTACCGCGCGTGGAAGGCGAGGAAGGTGAGCTTGTATGTGTATGGGGACCTACTAGGGGACCTGCTAGCAGAGCCAGCCGCTGAGGGGCGCACGCCAATGACTCTGGAGCAGTACCGTGAATGGAAGGCGAGGAAGGTGAGCTTGTATGTGTATGGGGACCTACTAGGGGACCTGCTAGCAGAGCCAGCCGCTGAGGGGCGCACGCCAATGACTCTGGAGCAGTACCGTGAATGGAAGGCGAGGAAGGTGAGCTTGTATGTGTATGGGGACCTACTAGGGGACCTGCTAGCAGAGCCAGCCGCTGAGGGGCGCACGCCAATGACTCGGGAGCAGTACCGTGATGGAAGGCGAGGAAGGTGAGCTTGTATGTGTATGGGGACCTACTAGGGGACCTGCTAGCAGAGCCAGCCGCTGAGGGGCGCACACCAATGACTCTGGAGCAATACCGCGCGTGGAAGGCGAGGAAGGTGAGCTTGTATGTGTATGGGGACCTACTAGGGGACCTGCTAGCAGAGCCAGCCGCTGAGGGGCGCACGCCAATGACTCTGGAGCAGTACCGTGAATGGAAGGCGAGGAAGGTGAGCTTGTATGTGTATGGGGACCTACTAGGGGACCTGCTAGCAGAGCCAGCCGCTGAGGGGCGCACGCCAATGACTCGGGAGCAGTACCGTGATGGAAGGCGAGGAAGGTGAGCTTGTATGTGTATGGGGACCTACTAGGGGACCTGCTAGCAGAGCCAGCCGCTGAGGGGCGCACACCAATGACTCTGGAGCAATACCGCGCGTGGAAGGCGAGGAAGGTGAGCTTGTATGTGTATGGGGACCTACTAGGGGACCTGCTAGCAGAGCCAGCCGCTGAGGGGCGCACGCCAATGACTCTGGAGCAGTACCGTGAATGGAAGGCGAGGAAGGTGAGCTTGTATGTGTATGGGGACCTACTAGGGGACCTGCTAGCAGAGCCAGCCGCTGAGGGGCGCACGCCAATGACTCTGGAGCAGTACCGTGAATGGAAGGCGAGGAAGGTGAGCTTGTATGTGTATGGGGACCTACTAGGGGACCTGCTAGCAGAGCCAGCCGCTGAGGGGCGCACGCCAATGACTCTGGAGCAGTACCGTGAATGGAAGGCGAGGAAGGTGAGCTTGTATGTGTATGGGGACCTACTAGGGGACCTGCTAGCAGAGCCAGCCGCTGAGGGGCGCACGCCAATGACTCGGGAGCAGTACCGTGATGGAAGGCGAGGAAGGTGAGCTTGTATGTGTATGGGGACCTACTAGGGGACCTGCTAGCAGAGCCAGCCGCTGAGGGGCGCACACCAATGACTCTGGAGCAATACCGCGCGTGGAAGGCGAGGAAGGTGAGCTTGTATGTGTATGGGGACCTACTAGGGGACCTGCTAGCAGAGCCAGCCGCTGAGGGGCGCACGCCAATGACTCTGGAGCAGTACCGTGAATGGAAGGCGAGGAAGGTGAGCTTGTATGTGTATGGGGACCTACTAGGGGACCTGCTAGCAGAGCCAGCCGCTGAGGGGCGCACGCCAATGACTCGGGAGCAGTACCGTGATGGAAGGCGAGGAAGGTGAGCTTGTATGTGTATGGGGACCTACTAGGGGACCTGCTAGCAGAGCCAGCCGCTGAGGGGCGCACGCCAATGACTCTGGAGCAGTACCGTGAATGGAAGGCGAGGAAGGTGAGCTTGTATGTGTATGGGGACCTACTAGGGGACCTGCTAGCAGAGCCAGCCGCTGAGGGGCGCACGCCAATGACTCGGGAGCAGTACCGTGATGGAAGGCGAGGAAGGTGAGCTTGTATGTGTATGGGGACCTACTAGGGGACCTGCTAGCAGAGCCAGCCGCTGAGGGGCGCACACCAATGACTCTGGAGCAATACCGCGCGTGGAAGGCGAGGAAGGTGAGCTTGTATGTGTATGGGGACCTACTAGGGGACCTGCTAGCAGAGCCAGCCGCTGAGGGGCGCACGCCAATGACTCTGGAGCAGTACCGTGAATGGAAGGCGAGGAAGGTGAGCTTGTATGTGTATGGGGACCTACTAGGGGACCTGCTAGCAGAGCCAGCCGCTGAGGGGCGCACGCCAATGACTCGGGAGCAGTACCGTGATGGAAGGCGAGGAAGGTGAGCTTGTATGTGTATGGGGACCTACTAGGGGACCTGCTAGCAGAGCCAGCCGCTGAGGGGCGCACACCAATGACTCTGGAGCAATACCGCGCGTGGAAGGCGAGGAAGGTGAGCTTGTATGTGTATGGGGACCTACTAGGGGACCTGCTAGCAGAGCCAGCCGCTGAGGGGCGCACACCAATGACTCTGGAGCAATACCGCGCGTGGAAGGCGAGGAAGGTGAGCTTGTATGTGTATGGGGACCTACTAGGGGACCTGCTAGCAGAGCCAGCCGCTGAGGGGCGCACACCAATGACTCTGGAGCAATACCGCGCGTGGAAGGCGAGGAAGGTGAGCTTGTATGTGTATGGGGACCTACTAGGGGACCTGCTAGCAGAGCCAGCCGCTGAGGGGCGCACACCAATGACTCTGGAGCAATACCGCGCGTGGAAGGCGAGGAAGGTGAGGCTGAAGCTGTGCAAGTCTTCCAGAGCCAGGCTTAGCCCAGTTGAAAGGGACCGCCAGTCAATGCACCTGTGGATGGGTATCTGCTGAGCACAGCCGCTGTGCCATGGGAGCCAGCCGCTGAGGGGCTCACGCCAATGACTCTGGAGCAGTACCGCGCGTGGAAGGCGAGGAAGGTGCGTTGTGTTTGAAGGGTGTGCTGTGACTGAAGGCCGGGTTAGAGTCTCATCTGCCAGGGGAGCCAGCCGCTGAGAGACGCACGCCAATGACTCTGGAGCAGTACCGTGAATGGAAGGCCAGGAAGGTGAGCGTCAGGTGTGCTAGAAAGCCCTGCTCTGGCCAGATAATACAAGGAACCAACAGTCGATGCACCTGTGGGTGAGAACCTGCCAGTAGAGCCAGCAACCGCACGCCAATGACTCTGGAGCAGTACCGTGAATGGAAGGCCAGGAAGGTGAGCGTCAGGTGTGCTAGAAAGCCCTGCTCTGGCCAGATAATACAAGGAACCAGCAGTCGATGCACCTGTGGATGGGCATCTGCCTGCAGAGCCAGCAGCCGAGGGCCAGGCTTGTGCCAATGACTCTGGAGCAGTTCCGCGTGTGGAAGGCCAGGAAGGTGGGTTTGAATGTGAGCTTCCAGTGTATGTGAAGGATGTGAACAAGGATGTTTTCGTTGTATGTGTGAAGTTTGATTTTCTTCAAGTGTGTGGGGGGCCATGGCTGCCCGGTTGGCCTGAATCCATCACCCGGCGTGGATCAGTTGACTGTTTCTGTTGTGGATTCCGAGGCGCCTCAAAATACACCTCAATGCTCGCGGTTGGCCTGAATTTATCACCCGGCGTGGGTCAGTTTACTGTTTCTGTTGTGGCTGTGGACTTGTCAGTGATTAGCTGTTTATTTTCCTCCCCATTGTCCTCGACCTAAGTTCTTTCGGGATTTATCCCCTTGCCGATCTGATTTTGGTTTTGTCTTATCCCGTCCTTGTCTCTTATGGCTTAGGACCAAGAGGAAAGCGCAAGGAAAGAGGAGGCAGCCAGGAAAAGAGCAGAGGACATAGCAGCGGGGCGAGTGCCTATGAATGGAAGAGAGCTGTTTATCCATGAGCCCTGGGTGTTTGATGATTCGAGATGTACCTAGTTTTGTATATGGTATATCACTGTATGAGCTGAGAACCTCTAATGAATTGCTGATACCGCGTACTGTATAGATCTTTCACCTCACTAGAATCCCGTATATTGCATTCAAAACTTGAGAGCCTTATTGAACCGCGCCAAAAATCCGAACCTGCGGAGGTTCGATCGCAGGTTCGTCGTTCATGGGATTTAGGCTTGATTGCAGGTTTGGCGTACCGCACGTAACATGTCATGCTTCGGTTGTGTACCGAATCGCAGCAGATTTCGCCTGTCGCAGAAGCCCTGTGGGGTAACCACTGTATACCCTGCCTGTCCCACCCCACCCCACCTTTCTCCTCCGCCCTCGCATCTGTTTTCCCCCTCGCTTGTTACCCACCCCTCCCTAATCTCCTCCTGAAGTTTATAGACTGCTCGCTAGTCTGCTCGCTTGAACCTAGCTGGATTCGCGGCAGGCTAGGACGCGTCGACGCCTCGCTTGCGCTTTTGCCGTTCGCGGTTTGAGATTGAAGTATAGGGTTTCGAGGTGAAAGTAAAAGGGACGTCAGCGCGCGTCGATCAGGGTGTAGTCGACTTAATTCGCCGATATTACAGACGAGGATCAGACGTTAACTGTCAAGGATCGGACGAGCATTTCAGATTAGTCGTTAAACGTAAAGGATCAGACGTGATCGACTGAAGTCTAGCGTTAACGGTTGAGAATCAAACGGTCACGGTCAGAGTCAGACGTTCGCCGTCAAGGATCTGACGTTAACAGTCAAGGACCAGACGTTAACGGACAGCGTGGGAGCATGGAGATCCCGAGGGAAGACTTTGAGCGAATCATGTTCTTCGAGCAGACGAGGGAGCAGGCGATGGCAGAGTTCAAGAAGAACCCACATGACGCCGATGTGAGTAAGAGTAATCTCACGGGGACTGCTGTTTGGCCCGCTTGAAATGCGAATCATGTTCTTCGAGCAGACGAGGGAGCAGGCCATGGCAGAATGCTAGAGGAACCCGCATGATGCCGATGTGAGTAGTTTGATGGTGGATTGTTGGTTCAAGCGGTGTACGCTTCAAGAGCAGGAGATGGTAGAGTCCAGAACCCACATGACGCCGATGTGAGTACTTTCACGGGGGCTGTTGGTTCAAGTTGGGCCCGCTTGAATTGCGAATCATGTTTTCCGAGCAGACGAGGGAGCACATGTAGGTGTGCTGAGAATTCAGCAACATATAGACATGGTCGCAGGTATAGTCGCAGAGACTGTCGCAAGTATCGTCGCAGCTGCGGTCGCAGGTACTGTCGCAGGTTGACCGCAGGTATGGTTCCAAGTGCTGTCGCAGGTACGGTCGCTGGTGCAATCGCAGGTACGGTTGCAAGTTCAGCCGCAGGTACAGCCGCAGGTACAGTCGCAGGTACAGTCGCAGGTACGGTCGCTGGTTCGATCGCAGGTACAGTCGCAGGTGCGGTCGCAGAGCGCAGACCCGTAGCACGTGGCGGGGTTGAGTCGTCCAGGTGTCAGGCGCTGTTATCGTCGAACCCTTGCAAAATCCGGCGAGGTTTTTTCCTTGCGAGGTGACCTTTGAGTCGACTCAGAGGTGAGTCGATCGACTCGAAAGTGAGTCGTCCAGGTGTCAGGCGCTGTTATCGTCGAACCCTTGCAAAATCCGGCGAGGTTTGGTCCTTGCGTTTCTGCTTCTCTGCTTCTCTGCCTCTTCGCGTCTCATATTTTCTGCTTCCCTGCTTCTCTGCTTCACCGCTTCTCTACTTTTCTGCTCATCTGCCCCTCTCCTTTCATCGTCCCCATCTGTGCCACTCAGAATCTGACCAAGCTCGGCCGAACACTCGTGGAGCTGGCGCAGTTCATTCATCCATGAGCAGGAGAGTCTATTGGGTTCATTTCTTGCTCCTCTACTCCTCTCCTTCTCTGCTCCTCTGCTTTCCTGCCTCTTTCCCTTCCTTTCCTTCATGCCTCGCACAGAATCTGACCAAGCTCGGCCGAACGCTGGTGGAGCTGGCGCAATTCATTCAGGGGCAGGAGTCGAATGAGATGCTGGATGGTGAGTGTAACAGAGGGCTTGTAACGAGTTTGTAACTAGACGACTTGTAACGGGGTCTGAGGTTGCCTATAGCCAAAATAACTATACTTGCTGGTGGAGCTGGCGCAGCTCATTTAAGGGCAGGAGTCGAACGAGATGCTGGACGGTGAGTGTAACGGGTCTGCTCATAACGAGTCAAAAGGCTGTTGATAAAATGGACTTGCGCGGTTCATTCGGGGGCAGGAGTCGAACGAGATGCTGGACGGTGAGTGTAACGGGTCTGCTTATAACGAGTCAAGAGGCTGCTTTTCAAAGGATTTTATTCAACTGCAAGTTGGCTGCCGCAGCTTATTCAGGGGCAAGAGTCCATTGAGTTGATGGATGGTGAGTGTTACAACGCTTCCCTCCACTTCCCTCCGCTTCCCTCCATCCCCTCCCCTCCCCTCCCCTCCCCTCCCCTCCCCTCCCCTCCCCTCCCCTCCCCTCTTCCAAATGTTCTTCTCCTCCCCTTCCCCACACTCTATCGTCAGATGCCTTGTCAGTTCGATGAGTCCCTGACGATCTCCCTGTCTTGCCCCAACACCCTCTGACTACTTTTGAGGCGCCTCAAAAGTCGTCTCAGTTCGATGAATCCCTGACCGTCTCCCTGTCTCGCCCCATCACCCTCTGACTACTTTTGAGGCGCCTCAAAAGTCGTCTCAGTTCGATGAGTCCCTGACGATCTCCCTGTCTTGCCCCAACACCCTCTGACTACTTTTGAGGCGCCTCAAAAGTCGTCTCAGTTCGATGAATCCCTGACCGTCTCCCTGTCTCGCCCCAACACCCTCTGACTACTTTTGAGGCGCCTCAAAAGTCGTCTCAGTTCGATGAATCCCTGACCGTCTCCCTGTCTCGCCCCAACACCCTCTGGCTACTTTTGAGGCGCCTCAAAAGTCGTCTCAGTTCGATGAATCCCTGACCATCTCCCTGTCTCGCCCCAACACCCTCTGACTACTTTTGAGGCGCCTCAAAAGTCGTCTCAGTTCGATGAATCCCTGACCGTCTCCCTGTCTCGCCCCAACACCCTCTGACTACTTTTGAGGCGCCTCAAAAGTCGTCTCAGTTCGATGAATCCCTGACCATCTCCCTGTCTCGCCCCAACACCCTCTGGCTACTTTTGAGGCGCCTCAAAAGTCGTCTCAGTTCGATGAATCCCTGACCGTCTCCCTGTCTCGCCCCAACACCCTCTGACTACTTTTGAGGCGCCTCAAAAGTCATCTCAGTTCGATGAATCCCTGACCGTCTCCCTGTCTCGCCCCAACACCCTCTGACTACTTTTGAGGCGCCTCAAAAGTCGTCTCAGTTCGATGAATCCCTGACCGTCTCCCTGTCTCGCCCCAACACCCTCTGGCCTGCGGCGCGCCGGTGGTTCTGACGGTGGCTACGAGGGGTCTCACTCAAACGTGCTCCTCCCTTTCCAATGCCGTGTCCAAGTTTGATGAAGCGCTCAAGATCGCACTGTCCCGCCCCAACACCCAATGGCCTGCGGCGCGCCGGTGGTTCTGACGGTGGCTATGAGGGGTCTCACTCAAACGTGCTCCTCCCTTTCCATCCCGTCCCCGATTCTCCCCACGCCCTCTGCCTTCAAATGCCGCGTCGAAGTTTGATGAGGCTCTCAAGAAGATCTCCCCTTCTCGGCCTGACACCCTCTGGTGGCTCGGCAACGCGCACACCACCAGTGGGGCCTTCAGACGCCCAATGCCCACTAATGTTCCTCCCCTCTCCTTCCCTTCCCCACGCCCCTGACTTCAGATGCTGTATCCAAGTTTGACGAGGCTCTCAAGATCTCCCCTTCTCGGCCTGACACCCTCTGTGGTGAAGGCGCACAGAAGATGGCAGCGCGCACACCACCAGGGGTTTTCATTTCAGGCTCTTTTGGGCTAGGGCACACTCAGTGGGCTTTAAGACGTCCCACAAATCCCCCTCTTCTCCTCCCCTCTCCACTCCTCCTTTCATCTCCTTTCCAAATGATTTCCCTTCCTTCCTTGCCGCGCCCTGTCCTCAGATGCCGTATCAAAATTTGACGAAGCCTTGAAGATTGCCCCATCTCGCCCCGACACGCTGTGGTGGCTCGGCAATGCGCACACCACGAGGGGCTTTCAGACGCCTGACGCCCAATGTTCCGCCCCTCTTCTTTCGTTCTTTCCTTTTCCAGATGCTGTCTCGAAATTTGACGAAGCTCTCAAGATCGCCCCATCTCGCCCCGACACGCTGTGGTGGCTCGGCAATGCGCACACCACGAGGGGCTTTCAGACGCCTGACGCCCAATGTTCCACCCCTCTTCTTTCGTTCTTTCCTTTTCCAGATGCTGTCTCGAAATTTGACGAAGCTCTCAAGATCGCCCCATCTCGCCCCGACACGCTGTGGTGGCTCGGCAATGCGCACACCACGAGGGGCTTTCAGACGCCTGACGCCCAATGTTCCGCCCCTCTTCTTTCGTTCTTTCCTTTTCCAGATGCTGTCTCGAAATTTGACGAAGCTCTCAAGATCGCCCCATCTCGCCCCGACACGCTGTGGTGGCTCGGCAATGCGCACACCACGAGGGGCTTTCAGACGCCTGACGCCCAATGTTCCACCCCTCTTCTTTCGTTCTTTCCTTTTCCAGATGCTGTCTCGAAATTTGACGAAGCTCTCAAGATCGCCCCATCTCGCCCGGACACGCTGTGGTGGCTCGGCAATGCGCACACCACGAGGGGCTTTCAGACGCCTGACGCCCAATGTTCCGCCCCTCTTCTTTCGTTCTTTCCTTTTCCAGATGCTGTCTCGAAATTTGACGAAGCTCTCAAGATCGCCCCATCTCGCCCCGACACGCTGTGGTGGCTCGGCAATGCGCACACCACGAGGGGCTTTCAGACGCCTGACGCCCAATGTTCCACCCCTCTTCTTTCGTTCTTTCCTTTTCCAGATGCTGTCTTGAAATTTGACGAAGCTCTCAAGATCGCCCCATCTCGCCCCGACACGCTGTGGTGGCTCGGCAATGCGCACACCACGAGGGGCTTTCAGACGCCTGACGCCCAATGTTCCACCCCTCTTTTTTCGTTCTTTCCTTTTCCAGATGCTGTCTCGAAATTTGACGAAGCCTTGAAGATCGCCCCATCTCGCCCCGACACGCTGTGGTGGCTCGGCAATGCGCACACCACGAGGGGCTTTCAGACGCCTGACGCCCAATGTTCCGCCCCTCTTGTTTCGTTCTTTCCTTTTCCAGATGCTGTCTCGAAATTTGACGAAGCTCTCAAGATCGCCCCATCTCGCCCGGACACGCTGTGGTGGCTCGGCAACGCGCACACCACGAGGGGCTTTCAGACACCTGACGCTACTCTTGCAAACGTCAGCTTTGAAAAGGCCTCCGACTGCTTCAGGAAGGCGCTGGATGCGGTACGTCATGGTTCAATGTGGTTCAGTGCGGTTCAGCGCGGCTCTTTAGCATGTTGGGGTATGGTTTTTCTGTACGGATTGGCAATGCGCACACCACGAGGGGATTCCAGACGCCCGATGCCACCCTGGCCAACGCGGTAGGTGTGGTTCAGTGCGGTTCTCCGTGGTTTAGTTGTCAACGCGCACACCACGAGGGGGTTCCAGACACCCGATGCCACAATGGCCAACGTCAGCTTTGAGATCGCACCCCTTCAAACATTCAAACCTTCAACCTTTCAACTTGTAAACCTTCTCCCCCCCATGGCATGGCAGGACCCGAGCAACGACTCCTACCGCTAGTCACTGGAGGGGCGGTCTCCCTTACCCCTTCACCTTCAACCCCAATCTGTACCGCACACCCCCCCTTCGTTTCACTGCTTGTGTGCTGGCAGGACCCGAGCAACGACGCCTACCGCAAGTCACTGGAGATCTCTCTGAAGGTGAGACCCGTTTGAGTGTGTTTTGCTGTGTTTTCCCCACCTGATGCCAAATCCTCTTGGCGTTTCAATTCCGGTGTTTCTGTTGAGATGCATCAGGAGGTGGAGAGACGCAGATACCTCGTAAAGTGTTCTACTTCCCTGGTTATGTTTGGCTGATATTGAGTTGTATTTTATTACTAACAAGTTTTCTTGAACCGGTTGCAGGGCCCGGAGTTGCATCAAGAGGTGCAGAAGCAGATGGCACTACAGCAGGCGCTGGGAGCGGCAGTGCATCCATCGTCCATGGATGCTCCCAAGGTACTGTACTCTCATCAATGCACTTTCAATGTTGTCTAGTGCACTTGAACCTGAGTTGCATCAAGAGTTGCAGAAGCAGATGGCACTACAGCAGGCGCTGGGGGCGGCTGTGCACCCATCGTCCATGGATGCCCCCAAGGTATGATGAACAGCGGTGCACTTTCAGTGTTTCTGCAGCACTTCAACCTGAGTTGCACTTCAAGAGGTGCAGAAACAGATGGCACTGCAGCAGGCGCTGGGAGCCGCAGTGCATCCATCGTCCATGGATTTTCCCAAGGTATGATGCTCACAAGGTATGATGACCAATGATGCACTCTCAATGTTTCTGCTGCACTTCAGCCTGAGTTGCATTGGGAGGTGCAGAAGCAGATGGCACTGCAGCAGGCACTGGGGGCCGCTGTGCATCCCTCCTCCATGGATGCCCCTAAGGTATGATGAACATGTAATACACATGTTATGCACATCCTCGCACTTGGTGTGGCTGGCACTGCATCCCTCCTCCATGGATGCTCCCAAGGTATGACGTGACGATCAACGGTCCACTTTTCCTGTTTCTAGTACACTCAACCCATTTCTCACCAATTTTCACCGTGTTAATACACATCTAGAGCACAACCTCACGTGGCCTGTGCACATCATTCTATTAATCCAGATTCTGATTCATTTCTGTGGTGTGCACACGGTTCCACCAAGCCAGTCTATCTGAACTGCTCTGTTCTCCCTTCTCGGGCTGCAGAGCGGTCACTTTCACAGGTCTCACCATATGGCTGTGGCATTTTCCATTGCATGTCCTACTTTTGAGGCCCCTCCCAAAGTGACGACTTTCAAGTGTCTCATTGTTTGGCTGTGGCTGTACTTCGCCTCATGGCTGCTTCTCGTGTGCAGGTCCAGAAGAAAAAGAAGAGCAGCGATCTGTTGTATGACGTGGCAGGGTGGGTGATTCTGAGTGTGGGTGTGGTGGCCTGGCTCAGCATTCTCAGTGCGCGGGCGCCACCTCCTGCTGCTGCCAAGTAGTTGGGAGGATAATGGTGGGTAGGTATGCTGCTGCTGTTGCTGCTGCTGCTGCTGTGGCAGGGTGGGTGATTCTGAGTGTGGGTGTGGTGGCCTGGCTCAGCATTCTCAGTGCGCGAGCACCGCCTCCTGCCGCTGCCAAGTAATTTGGAGAATATTGTAGGTATGTAGTGAAGCAAGCAACCACAGTTGCACAGCAGTGGGATGTGAAGCAGCAACCTAAATTGCTGGTAGCGGCTCTTTTGCTCAAAATTGATAGTGTCGACAGTAGTCCACTGCTTGCTAGATGTAGCGTGTTTCCCAAAGAAAAACAAGCTTGGCTGTCTAGAACTGTCAACATTTATCATGAAAGCGCATTTTCATGCTATTGGCGACATCCATTTTCCCTCCTTGCAAACATTGTTGTCCCTCCTTCCCTCCTCCACATCCAGAACAGTCTTGTTGTCAAGGTGCACAGGGAGAGGTGGGGGCTGAAAAATGGGTTTTCTTTTGTACAATCGTAACTGATGACATCAAATCAATGACAATGCTAACTGGCAACTACGGTACGGTAAAGGCTACTACTTTCTACATATCTAGCTAGCTCAAGGTGACCGGCTAGCCGCCGAAGCCGTATAGTGTTCTGCCTTGGCGTTTCAAAGCATAAACAACATCCATGGCGGTGACCGTCTTTCTCCGCGCGTGCTCTGTGTAAGTCACCGCGTCGCGAATGACATTCTCGAGGAACACCTTCAGCACGCCTCGTGTCTCTTCATATATCAGACCACTGATACGCTTCACGCCGCCGCGACGAGCGAGACGCCTGATAGCGGGCTTGGTGATACCCTGGATGTTATCGCGAAGAACCTTCCTGTGACGCTTCGCTCCTCCCTTTCCAAGGCCCTTGCCTCCCTTGCCGCGTCCCGACATGGCGAATAGTCAAAATACCACAGGAGGTGAAAAGGGAACGTTGCAAAGGACACGCAAATTAAGATATGGATGAGTAATCTGTGCTGAGCAAGAAAGCCCTGCGAGAAGGCCTACTAGAAGCTGAAAGTAATGTGATGAGCTCCTTGATAGCTGCTGAATGCTGAGCGCTTGAGCGATGAAAGGAACGGTGATGCACTACAACAAACAACCACCATCCATTTAAAAATAGATTCCTTGGCCCCTCTGTTTGAGGCGCCTGTGAAATGGCACGAGTTGAAAGGTGGGATGGTGTTGCTCTGCTGCGCCCTCCAACAAGGATCCCTCCCTTTCTTGGCTTGAAGCTTGATTTGCGAGAAATGCGGTGGGTGGTTTGTGAGGAAGTTGGGAGGAGTACAGGGTGATCTCTGTCGTCCATGATGCTTTTTGGTGTATCTTATCGACGGCAGAGCGTGAAGTACGTCGATGCGAGAGCGTAGTTTTGGCGTGCTTTAATTGGCTTTCGCAATGTCAAGAATGTTTTGAGTTGTGCGGGGATGGATCCGCACATCCGGGGCCAGCGCAAGCGTGAACAGACTTGCGGGCAGGTGATAAAAAGTTCATGTCAAACATGACGGAGAAAATGCCGGAGGAGCACTGGAAAGGTTCAATCGCGGCCACTGGAAAACTCACCACCTTTATCGAACGGCTTACAGTCCTTCTGCGTGCAACCTTATCATTGTTTTTACTGGTTACCACCATCGATCCGTCAAGCTTCTCTCTATTGGCTGAAATCAGACACCACACAACGCCCTATGTTCTTCGAGAACATCTTGCAAGCAAGCAACAATTCAAATTGTGTGGTGAAGTTCCGACTTCATAATCCAAGCTCCTAGTCGAATATTCGCAAGTTACTTTGCTCACTAGCTTCCCGACTTCAACGCGCAAACCTCCTCTAGTCGTCGACTTTCCGCTTTTCAGTCCCTAGTTCGTGCGTTTTTTTCCTAGTTCCAATGGCTCCTAAGGTTGAGGGAGAGCAGAAGGCTGCCAAGAAGGGCCCTAAGAAGGAGCCCGCTGCTAAGAAGGCAGTTCCTGCAGGAAAGAAGCCCATCGGGGAGAAGAAAGAGAAGAAAAAGGCTCGCAAGGCCGTCACGGAAACTTACAAGATCTACATCTACAAGGTGCTGAAGCAAGTGCATCCAGACACAGGCATTTCGTCCAAGGCCATGTCGATCATGAACTCGTTCATCAATGATATATTTGAGAAGCTTGCGACGGAGGCGTCGAAGCTTGCGCGGTACAACAAGAAGCCGACGATCACGTCTCGCGAGATCCAGACGGCTGTTCGGTTGACGCTGCCCGGAGAGCTGGCCAAGCACGCCGTGTCTGAGGGAACAAAAGCTGTGACGAAGTTCACAAGTGCCTAGTTTAGTGCTAATGTCTTGGCTGTAATATAACTCTACTAACCCGTTTTCTAACTATCACTCGGACCAAGAGTTTGTATTTAACAGACAGATAAATGAGCCACCGGGAAGCCATGACTAACCGATCAGCTATTATTATTCATCGAACATCCTTGTGTTGCAACCAAACAGACGTCTGAAACCGTGACAATTCTTCGTCTACACCGTGTCGGCGAAGGAGATAGGATTCATATGCAAGGGTGTAGGTAGCGTAGAGATAATCTTACCCAGCCCTTGCACTCACGGAGACCCAACCCCAACCAAACCAGAGTGGATTGCACAATCGCTACATAAAGCACATAATGTCAATCCTTCTTCCGCCAAGGTCAGCCATTCTATTGCTTGAAGAATAAAGTACGAACAATGCTGCCATGTAACTCTGACGAACTGAGGGGAGCCAGTGACATCAGCAGGGGGATGATGACTTGTGCAAGTGTGTGCAGAAACTCAAAAGGATTTTGAAAGAGAGTCCAAAGACTGCTGCTGCTGTTGCTGCTGCTGCTGTTGCTGCTGCTGTTGCTGCTGCTGTTGTTGTTGCTGCTGCTGCTGCTGCTGTTGCTGCTGCTGTTGTTGTTGCTGCTGCTGCTGCTGCTGCTTCCGCCGCAGGAGCATCTGCTGGTGCTGCTGTCTGCTCCTCTTCCCCCAACTGCTGCTGCTGCTGCTGATGCAAGTGATGATGTTGCTCCTGCTGCTGCATCTGGTGCTGCTGCTCTTGCTGATCCTGTTGTCTCCCCTTCTCACACACTCCCTGCCCTTCCTGCCCTTCCTTACCTTCCTTACCTTCCCTTACTTCCCCTTCTTCCCCTCCTCCTCCTTCCCACAGTTGCATCCCACCACCCTCACCAATGCCCCTACCACCATCACCGCCCCTAACCGCATCAACACCAGCACCAGGTGTCACTGCTGCCGCCGCAGCAGCAGAAGCAACAGCAACAGCAGCATTGCCGTTAGCAACAATGCCAGCGGCAGCAGCTACATCAGCAGCAGTGGCAGCAATAGCAGCAGGGGTAGAATCAGGAGATATTTTAGCGTCAGTTAAACCCTCCCCAACACCAGGCAAACTACCAGCCACAGCACCAGTCACGGCCGCTGCTGCCCGAGCCCTCTCCACAGCTGCCCGCAAAGCTGCCCGGATAACTTCCACCGTAGGCTCTTTCCTGCCCTTCTTCCTCCAATCTGCCCCACTTTTCTCCCTCTCTCTCTCCCTCTCCCTCTCCCTGCTACGGCTGCTCCCACCCCCCTCCACCGCTCCCAACCCCCCCGAATTGAGCGGGCTGCTACCACCAGCAGGGGCAGAATGGGAGGAGGAGGAGGGGAGTGGGGAGAGAGAGGAGGGGCGGGAGGAATGCAGCGGCTCGTCTGACTCGGGAGGAGGGTCCCTAGAGAGGAGCATTTGATGGGTGACTCGGTTGCTGCAGGAGGCTGTTTCCAGTGCTCGCACGTGCAGGCGCAGCACCTGTGGTATGGGCAGACGGACATACATATGGGGAGGAGCAGGGGAGGGAAGGGTATGAGAGATCATTGGTTACAGGGGGAGGAGGGTCTTGGGAGAGGAGCATCTGATGGGTGACTCGGTTGCTGCAGGAGGCCGTTTCCAGTGCTCGCACGTGCAGACGAAGGACCTGTGTGGTAGGGGCGGACATACTTTTGAGAATTCTCAAAAGTGCAAGCAAAGGACCTGTGTGGTAGGGGCGGACATACGAGGCGGAGCAGGGGACAGAAAGGTGCGGTGTGGAGACTCGTCAGTTTCAGGGGAAGGAGGTTCTCGGGAGAGAAGCATCTGGTGGGTGACTCGGTCACACTCACAGTCACCCTCCTCACACACTCAGTCACCCTCCTCACACTCACAGTCACCCTCCTCACAATCACACTCACATTTATCGCTTTCTTGAGTAATGCCAGCAGGTCAGGATGATCCTCACACGATACCACAAACCAAGTCATGTGCAATTTCACAACCACCATAGTCACACAAGCCCCACCCTCGCCACAGTCACACCCACCCTTGTCATAATCACACTCACATCAATCGCTTTCTTGAGTGATGCCAGCAGGTCGGGATGATCTTCACACGATACCACAAACCGAATCAGCTCCTCTCCTCCTCCCCCCTCTCCCTCTCCCGCCCCCCCTTCCCCTTCTCCTCCCCCACCACCACCCCCCTCCTCCCTGCACTCCCCTTTCCTCCTCTTCCCCCCTCCGCCCTCCTCCCCACCCTCACAGCTCCCCCCCCTCTTTCCCCCACCCTTTCTCCGCCCTCCGCCACTCCCCTCTCCACGACCTTCCACCCCCTCCCCCCCTTCCCCCTCTCCTCCCCCTTCCCCGCCTTCCCCCCTAACCGCCCCACCGCCCTCTCTCACCCCCTCCTCCCCCACCGTCCCCACCACCTCCTCCACCTCTAAAACATCCACATCCCTCGGTACCGCACCGAACCCCTTCCCCCCCATCCCTCCCCCCGCCCCCGCCTCCCCTTCCGCCTCCCCCTCCCCCTCCGCATGCCTCTCCGCGTGCAGCGCCCGCAGCACGTCTACAACCTCGCCCAGTAATGTTGCTTTATCCGTCTGGAGGGGGGGGGAGTAGCGGGGTAAGGAATGAGGGTAGGGAACAGGGGGAAAGGGGATAAAGTGCCCTGCACACGCCTCTCCCTCTCCGCGTGCAGCCCTCGCCTATCAACATCAACCCGTCTGAATGGGGGGGAGAAGAGGGGGCGGAAGGCGGGTGGAGCAGGGGGAAGGGGGATAAAGTGCCCTGCACACGCCTCTCCCTCTCCGCGTGCAGCGCCCGTAGCACATCCACCACCTCTCCTAGATGGGTTGCTTTGTCCGTCTGGATAGGGGGAGGAGCGGGGGGGGGGGGGGGGGGGGGGGGTAACAGGGGAGGGGCGGGGTAGGGCATGGGCGGTTGTGAGAACACTGTCTTTCACGTCTCTCCGCGTGCAGCGCCCGCAGCACGTCCACCACCTCTCCTAGGAGTGTTGCTTTGTCCGTCTGAATGGAAGGGGCACGAACACAGGAAAGTGGGGAGTTGGGGAGTGCAGGCATGTCTCTCTCCCTCTCTCTCTCCGCGTGCAGCGCTCGCAGCACGTCCACCACCTCGCCTAGGAGTGTCGTTTTGTCCGTCTGGATAGGGGGAAGGCGGGAGAAGAGAGGTGGGGGGATGGGGGATGGGAGGATGGGCGTTGGGGTGATGGGGGTTGAGAAGTGCAGCGCCCGTAGCACGTCCACCACCTCGCCTAGGAGTGTCGTTTTGTCCGTCTGAGGAACGGGGGACGTGAGGAACGGGGGAGAGGTTGGGGGGAGAGAGAGAGGGCAGAACAGGGTGAATGAGGAAGAGTACCCTTTACACACCTTCCTCTCCGCGTGCAGCGCCCACAGCACGTCACGGGGGATGGGTAGGGAACGGGGGAACGGAGGGGGGGGTGGGGGGTTTGAGGCATGAGAATAGGTAACCCCCTTCTCCGCTTCTCCTCTACCTCCCTCTCTCCGCCTTCGGTCTGCCTCTCCCTCTCCTCCGCCTCTCCACCTCTCCACCTCTCCGCCTCTCCACCTCTCCACCTCTCCGCCTCTCCGCCTCTCTGCCTCTCTGCCTCTCCCATCCAGTGAGCCCTTTATGAGGCGCCTAAAGAACCGCACCTTGCTAGAGCATCCGCCTCTCCACCTCTCCGCCTCTCCCCCACTCCCCTCTCCACCTCACCCATCCAGTGAGCCCTTTATGAGGCGCCTTGTGCTGGTTGATGCGCCCCCTGCGCCTCTGCTCTTCCTCTCCGCCTCTCCGCCTCTCCGCCTCTCTGCCTCTCCCATCTAGTGAGCCTTTTTTGAGGCGCCTAAAGAGCCGTACCTTGCTAGAGCTGGGCAGGAGCGCGCGCAGCGTCGCGAGGTGCTGGTTGATGCGCTCCCTGCGCCGCCGCTCCGCCTCGCTGTGCGAGCGCGACTGCGCCAGCGCCTTCGCCTCCATCTCCGCCATCGACGCGCGCGCCGCCTCCCCGCCCCCGCCGTAAAACGCGGAGATGTCGACTGAAGACCGGCGGAAGAGGAGAGGAGGGAGGTGGGGAGGGGTGCGTGGAGAGGAGGCGGGGGAGGAGAAGAGGGAGGTGGGAAGGGGTGCGACGTCTGTGTATCCAAAATAAGGAGCACCTAGCTGGCAAATGAAACCGCCAACACGGAAACCCGCTACATTCCAAACACGCTTAGAAAATCGCCTGAGCCTCACATTCGTTCTTTTAAAAATCTGCGAATTACTCTCACGTACCTCCTGGTAAATGGTACAGGCGCTTAGAGAATCACTCCATACAGTAGCTATGATCTACTCTCACGTACCTCTTGGGAAAAAACATAGGCGCTTCGAACATTGCCCCACACGGAAGCTCCAATTCGCTCTCATGCGTACTGCCTGAGAAGACTCTTAGGCACTTCAAAGACTCTCACTCAGGGCGTCTTTCAGGTTCGGGTCATTAGGCACTGTTTGGGTCATCAGTACACTTTGGGTCATGGGAGGACCAATGGTATTCGAGTAGTGTAACTAAAATGCGCCTGATTGGTCTTCCAAGAATCTCGGATGACCCAAACAGTGCATGACCCGAACCTGAAAGGCGCCCTCAAAGAGAGCGCGTACCTCCTTCACACAAAAGCTACTTGTCACTCTCACGCGCGCGTACCTCCGGGGAATCCCCCCGCTAGTTGCGCTCCCCCCAGCAATGCCGCCTGCTGCCCCGCCAGCTCTTGCAGCAGGAGAAAGTCCGCCTGCTGCTGCGCCGCTGCGCCCCCGCCCATTCGGAAATCCCCCTGCTGCTGCGCAGCCGCCCTTCCGCCCATCAGAAACTCCGCCTGCTGCTGCTGCTGCTGCGCCGCCCCCCCGCCCATGCGGAAATCCGCCTGCTGCGCCGCCGCCCCCCCAGCCAGGAGAAACTCCGCCTGCTGCTGCGCCCCTCCGACATCGAACCTTCCCCCGTCCCCGTTCAGCTGCGCGACTGCGCCCATTCCTCCCCGCGCGCCCGACAGAGCTCCCCCTGCCCCTCCCCCGAGCCCGCTACGACGCGCAGTAGCGCTGCTAGCAAGCGCGCTCCGCATCGCGGCTGTAGCGGCTGTAGCCGCCGCCGCCGCGGTGCCAGCAGCATTGGTGCTCGCAACGGGATTTCCGCTGCTCCTGAGTGGAATCTTCCCCGAAGCTACCGCTGCAGCTAGACTCGCGTCGTCCATGCCCAACAAATCGTTGACACAGGCACCTGCCGCGCCAGCCATTAGGCTCGGCCCCAAACCTGCAGCCAGGTTCGGCACCAAACCTAATCCATTCGACTGGAGAAGATCAACACGGACGGACCGACTAGAGCCCGAACCGGCGGCTCCTAACCCTAAAGAATTATGTACATCAGGTGCTGCTGACGTGGCAATAGCTTCTACAGGCGAACCCGACAAAGATCGACGGTTTCCTCCCGCAAAGGACGCCGCGCGTTGCTGCTGCTGCTGCTGCTGCTGCTGTTGTTGTTGGTGCTGGTGCTGCTGCTGCTGCTGCTGCTGCTGTTGTTGTTGGTGGTGCTGCTGCTGCTGCTGATTGTGTTGTTGATCGAGCGCCGCTAGGACAGCCATCGGATCGTTCATGCTCGCGCAGAGAAACGCGAGGGACTGCGAGTCCGTGCCTCCAGCCCACGACATGGTGTAACTAAGTTGAACGAAAAGATTTCGCCTATTCAAGTCGCCAAATTCCGATAATCTCCAACAACTGAAAAAAACAACAGCCGCCGAGCGGGGCGACGAGTGACGGAAAGTCTCACATAGAAGCGAGAAGCGAGTGACGAGTGTCTCTACCGGCTCACCGAGAAGCGTCGACACGCGTATGCGTCACGTCTAGGCAGCTAAGCGGTTATTACGGAAATAAAACAATAAGGAAAACCGAGAAACCCGTGAACTAGTAGCAGGAAAAGCGTAGATGCGGTGATTACATAGGGCAGAGCTTCAATACGGTATTACACAGTGATACACCACCGACCTCACCTAGAATCTGTCACTACCTAGAAACTGAGGCTGGAGCGAAGCACACTAGGTAAGGAAATTTTACGGATCACTGTTGTGGAGGATTTACGCGTTGCGTTCGAATGCTGTCCAACGCGCACATATAGAGATTACACGCAGTGGACTGTACAGCGTAAGTTGACACCCATGTTCTCGTAGCAGCTGAAGTTCAGTTGAGTTGTTAGTTTACGGATGTAACGTAACGACTGATGAAGTGGACGCGTATTCACCTGGTACATTCACACATGGAAAGGAAATGCTGGCAGACACTGACACGGCCATGCTGGCGAGCTGCATGCAGATGTAAGGACGTGGGCCCAATCGGGTCTGATCGGCTCTGATCTGATCGGATCGGATTGCTTGTGATCACTTTGCTCGAGCCGCCCGATCAGAAATGTTTTTCGTAGAAATTTCAAAGCTATTACTTGGCAAACGCGGTAACATTACGTGGAAATTCCTATCCAACTCACGCGAGATTGGCAACCGAACGTCACCTGGCAAACGAATTTGTTTCCCTGTAATATCGTCAACCCCTGGAGAGTTCTCGCAACGTTCCATGCATGAACGAGAATTCACGAGACTCAGTTCAACAGTGTAACATTTCGCAACCTTCGTTTTGGCCCTCGATCACATGCAATCAACTGATCGAGGGTGATTGAGCAAAATCGAGTTTGATCGGGGTGAAAATCGGGTGTGATCGAGTTGGGGCGATCAGCTGATTGCCCCCGATTGCCTGAAATTGGCTTCCAGGCTTCCTCGAAGTTATTGATCGCGACTGATCTGATCGGGTCGGATCTGATCGGGTTGCTTGTGATCGCAGTGCCCGAGCCGTCCGATCAGAGATGTTTTTCGAAGAAGTTTTCTGCGCCTGCATAGCAAGCGCAGTAAATTACCTCGCATTTTCGTCCCCATTCTAGCGAGATTAGCGACCATACGTCACCTGGCGAAAATCTTCGATTTACTGTAATTGCAACCATGTAATTGCAACCATGTAACTCCTCGCAAGTATCGCTGTGGGCCCCGATCACATGCAATAAGGTGATCGCCTGTGATCGAGGAAAATCGATTCTGATCGGGGTGAAAATCGGGTCTGGTTGAGTTGGGGCGATCAGCTGATCGCCCCCGATTGCATGAAATTGGATTCCAGGCTTCCTAGAAATTGTTGATCGCATGTGATCGAGGCGATCAAACTCGATGGGGCCCACGTTCTAAACGCGTTGAACCGATTTGGGCGTGGCGTGGGGAGGGGAGGAGGGTGAATGGGTATGGTTAGGGGATTATCGGAGAGATAAAATCAAGGCTCCAGGTTGGAATTGATTGTGGGAGTGGGGAAGTGTGGAAGAGGATTGATGGGGAAAAGGGGTGGGTGGGGAGGGTTGAGGCAAGAGGCTTGTGGAGGATGTTCGGACGGTGGTGGGGTGAATGGGGAAGAGAGAGTGGTTGAGGAGGGTGGGTGCGGGTTAAGGGGAATGAGGAGGGAATGCATGACGTGTCCCTGCAGAAAAAAACTTTGGGAGATTCATGAGAAATGACGCGGCTGGTGGAAGTTTCTGCTGCACGTGAACGATGAGACAAATGGCCCAGCGGCCCACCCAGCCGAACCGAACCCGCGCCTGTCACCCCCCAAACCAACGACCAAGGCTGTGCTGTACGCACGGTACACCCCCCTCTCCCCCCCTCCACCCTTCCCTTACCAATTTGGGGAAAGTTTGCAGCGAGAACCGAATCTAGAGATTTTGGGCAGGAAGAAGCTGGTTTGGTTTGGTCTGGTTTGGTTTGATCGGTTGGGTGCACCTACCCTACCGCGTCAGGGCCGCAATCTTCTGAGCTCTGGTCAGGTCGATCACATCACAAACAAGTGAGGACGACTGACGAACCAGCGGTCGGCAATGCACTGTGACTAGTTTCTCGCTGGGGGCTAGCACAACACATCTTGAAATTACGGGACCTTGACTTTCTCAATTTTGAAGTGACGCTCCCAATCCTGGGACTTTCGATTCGTTTTGTGAGACCATGACGGAGTTGAGAACGAGGTTCACGCTGCCTCTGCAGTGTGGCAGTCGCGAATGTCGGAATAGAACTTGCTGTGTAATCTGTATACATACATGATGCCCCAACCTCTCTGCCCGAAGGCTATCCCATCTCAGAAAGTCCCCGAAATCTACTGTGTAGGATGTTCCTGATTCAGTTCAGGATTCGCATGTGGTGCGCGAACAGTAGAGCAGTCAGCAACTGTATATTTTCGTACTGTAATGGAAATTCAATCAAGAACCATATTCACGCTTCCATACAGCTATTATTTTCAAAGCTTTTATTATTTCATGGTTACTCTAAAAATGATATTAATGAACAAGATCAGTCAACAGTTGCCAAACACATAATTCTAGGGGCCTAGATCGCAAGCACATAGATCTAGGGGCGTACACGCTTAAAAGTGATAAGAGCCAACGTTGGGAATCTTGTACATTATCAACAGAGCCAGCGGCAGTGGGAGGTGCGAGGGGTTTGTGGTGCAGGTGGCGCCGGAGCATCATGAGGCATAGGAGGCACAAGTGCAACCCATGATGTGTGCAGCATGTTGGGGATGACCAAAGCTGCAAGCTTACCGCCTGAGACACAGTATTCGTTGAAGGAACCAACAGACATTAACACCTTAAGATACAGCCTGGCCAAGTCACTGGGTGAGGGTAGAGGAGCAAGAGACGGTAAAAAAACATTCTTTGGTCCAGGTGGCATGGTTAAGTTCAGTATTTGTTGAACCAACCAATAGAGATTAACACCCTCAGGTACAGCCGGGAAAGGTCATTGGAAGGGGGGAGAAAATGCGGGGTTGGTAATAACACCTCCTTGGTCCAAGTGGCACGTGAGCCAGTTGAGGCACATTATTTGTTGAAAGAGCTTGTGGACGTTAACACCCTCAGATACAGCCTTGCCAGGTCATTGGAAGAGAGGAGAGAAGGCAGAGACGGTAATACCATCTCCTTGGTCCAAGTGGCATGCAGGCTAACATCAGCGCAATATTCTCTAAAAGAGCCCGCACATGTTAAATTCCTTAGGTACAAAACGGCCTTGTTTTTGGAAAAAGGGGAAGAAGGTGGAAAGCGAGAGGAAAAAAGGGTGGTAACAACATGGATAAGTATTGGTCATTCTTGTTCGAGGCTTGGACAACGGGGGAGAATTCGTTAACACCGAGTTCAACACGCACCTGAAGTCAAAGGGCATTCGAAGGCAGCTCACGGTCCCATACACTCCTCAACACAATAGCATTGCGGAGCGAGTGAACCGATCACTGCTGGAGGGCGTGAGGAGCTTGCTCGCGAATAGCAACCTCCTCCTTCACTACTGGGGAGATGCGCTAGGCATGGCATGTTGGCTGAAAAACCGGCTACCGACAAAAGGACTAGCGACGGACATTACCCCTCACGAGGCGTTCTACAAAAGGAAGCCAAATCTGGGGTTCTTACGTGATTGGGGCTACATGATGCAACACCGAGAGGCGGCGGGACCCGATTATAAGCTACTTCCAAGGACCAAGGTGATACGCGACATGGAGACCAGGAAAGTCACGGCAACCAGAGATGTCACCTTCTACGGGTGTGACACCTACGTGGAGTGGAAGGGAAGAAAACAGGAAACTGTGTTAAAGGAAGCGGCAGCATCACCAACTCCAGTGGAGGAAATGATTGATGGGAGTGTGAAGGAAGGGATAAGGGCAGCCAATGGTAGCGGTGATAATGATGACTACGAAGACCACACTACGTTAGGATTCGATTGGGTGTGGGAGGTTCCGGAGCTGCCCTCACCTTCAACTGCCATGGAAGAGAGTGAAGAAGAACAAGATAAGGGGAAAGGGGCTGGTGACAACTCAACGGATGAAGCCAGTGAAGAAGAAGCTGAAAATTCTGACGTGGAGGAGAGTGGGGACGAATCTGCTAGCACGACCAACACCGATCCATGGTAAATCATTGACACGTGGGACGATGAAAAGGCGGCAGCAGAGATTGAAGACCTACTTGCGGATGGTGCAATCGTCGTCGGAAGGGAGATTGAAGGAGATACCGTGGAACAAGGAGTGGATGATAGTGCAGCAGCGGAAAAAGGTGGAGCTGAAATCAGAATGAGGAGATGGGCAAAGGGAAACGGGTCAAGAAACCCAATCCCAAGTATGCCCAAATGCTTCTGACACCCACACTCACCTCCTCCTCACCACCACTGCCACGGCGCTCCTATCA